GATTTTCTATAACTAGAAGTTTGTTTTTATTGTTCTGAAGCTATTTTCTTGTGGCATTTTAAATTAATTACTATTTACCTGGGAATAGTTATGAATTTAATGAAACATCAATAAATGTATTTTTATCTTTAATTGTGGCTTATTCCCAGTTAAATAGTACTTAATTTAGAAGTTTGTTGACAAACTTTTGTTTTGTTTTATATTAATTTCAGAAATATTTTACATTTGACCTCTAAAAAAGCAATTATCAGTATAATAATGATTTTGCTTACATTTGTCTGACATTTTATCTACAGATCTTATTTATTTTGTTTGTAGACAGTGATTCAGTAAAAATATAATGACTTCCAAAAATTTAGATAACTTTATAGATATTAGAAATAAAATATATGATATTGAGTCTAAAAAAATTCATGAAATATTAATATATTATCTTAATTTAAGCATGTATGTATTGATAATTGTAAATATGTGCAATAATTAACAGTTAAATTATATTACCTCATTGTGACTGCCTGAAAGCAGCAGAAATTAATTAACAAAACAATGGCAGAGGTAGCAATAAATATATCTACTTGAGTCAAATAAAAATATAAGTACCACAATTTGTTTATCAATAGAAATTTGTAAATTGTGGAAAAATTCGTAAAAACTGATAGCTCAACATTGCAAAGCAGCGCTGCAAGAGACAAAACAAAACAGTAATGAAATCATACTAGTGAAATACTAATGAAAGTAGAAAATCATATATTATTCAACAGGAGCGGAGTAGATAGAATTTTTGGCACCAGTTTACTTACTAAGCAGGGAGTTAGGCCAAATGGTGGTGAATTTTAAGCCTGTATCTGAAAGAATATGCTGTATCTGTATATTAATTGTAACACATGAACAAGGGAAAAGGATATCAAAGTAAAAGACAATTTCTTTGAACAGTTGCATAAAACAATGAAAATTATACCAAAACAAGACATAAAATTATTAGTAGGAGATTTCAACTACACTTAAAATATAAGCAACACAAAAAATCAAGTGAAATGGAGAAAACAATAAAATAAAACATATTAGAACTCTACTAGTACACTTTGGCCCCTTAAAGCCTTTGTAAAATGATAATAACTGGTAAATAAATCTAATTCTAGTAAGCCATTTTCCAACTTAGATATAGATATGTTGCTCTAGATATATTTAACTTGGGAAAGGATCACTACAGGAGCAATGCAACCATTTTGTGGCATTAGGGTTAGAAGACTCTGATGGTTTCCAGGGCAACAACTAACACCAACTACGAAGGAAGCTACAGCTACCTGGGGAAAGCATATCTCATATATATACATAAATATATATATATATATATATATATATATATATATATATATATATATATATATATATATATATATATATATATATATATATAAGTTCTTGAACTCCTAAGTGGAGCATAGAGTTTCAGTGAAAACGCGCCATCGGGTTCTATTTTGCGCTAAGGCCTTCACCTCATTCCAAGACTTTCCTTGGCCTCTTATCTCGTCCATGATGGATCTTCTTCAAGTTTGTACTGGGCGACCTCTTTTTCTTTTCCCTTGGGGATTCCACTCTACGGCAGTCTTTGCGATACTGGAACTATTTTTTCGGAGTGTGTGACTGATCCAACCCCACTTTCTGGACTTAATTTCACTTTGTACCCTCTTTTGTTCGGTAAGGTGTAGCAGATCTTCGTTTCTGATGGTGTTAGGCCAGAAGATACGGACAATTCTTCGTAGACATTTGTTAACAAAGACCTGCAATTTGTCTGTGAGGGTGTTTGTCACTTTCCAGGTTTCACATCCGTAGAATAGAACAGACATGACATTTGATTGGAATATTCAGATCTTTGTCCTTGTAGTATACTCGCTAGATCTCCAAACAGGGTTAAGTGTGCTGAAAGCTTGTTAGGCTTTTCATATCCTCATACGAATATCATCTTCTGTACCTCTGTTTTCTGTTATGACACTACCAAGATACGTAAAGTTTTCCACATTTACAATCTGCATATTGTAGATAGTAAATAGCGTGTTGTTCCTTTACATTTATTCTCATGGACTTGGTTTTACTAATATTGATTTTCAAACCTATTTTATTGGCTTCAGTGGAAAGTGTTACCAATTGGTAAGCCAGATCTTGGAAACTCTGACTTAATAGGCAGATATCGTCTGCATATTCTAGATCGCTTAGGCATGTGGTTAACATTCATTGTATCCCTCTTGTGTCAGAGTCTAGTTTGGAGAGAACATAGTCTATAGCTATGTTAAAAAGAAACGGAGAAAGCATGCATCCCTGTCTAACTAGGGATTTAGTATGTCAAATTCGTCACTGTTGATCCCATTGTGTGTCATGCTGCATTTTGCATCAGTATATAGTGACTTTATAATAGAAATTATTTTTTGCGGGATGTTTCTTAACTCCAGAGTTACCAGTTGAAGTCCGTTGGAAGAGGTTTACTCTCCGGACACTGGAACTCACCTAAGACATGGGTGTATATTACCTAAAGTTAAATTTAATTTAATATTAAACATCAAATATTAATTACAACATTATGTACAATCTTTTATGACCTTATGCATTTTAAAGGGTTTTTACCCTGATATTTTGGTGGCTCAGGCATGTTAACTTGCATTTTTAAACCTGATGGTGGAATTATTATTCCGAATACGTTTGTGTAATTTGATGTAGCTCTTTTAAGGGTTTTTTTTTTAAATATACCCATTTACAAAGATCTAACCTTATTTTTTTTAATTTGAATAACTTCTGCGATACAGAGATGTTACAATTATGTACAAAATAATGAAATAATGAATGGGAATATTTTTCTTAAAGAAAATAATTAATTGATTAGTAAAATCAACCAAGTATGTCATGGCATATTCAGATGAATTTATTTACTAAGTAGCTGTTAAATATTTATAATATTGTCAAATATTGTTATAACAGTGTGAATATGTCACTACATAACAATTATTCTAATCAAGAATTTGGAGATGATTTTTGCTTATGCAAGATAGAACACAGTTAGAATGTATCTGGATGTACTATAATATTATTGAAGGCAAATATTTAGATTTCATTGGACTGCTTTACAATTTAAACACAAGATATAAGAAATAACATAAATGGCCAAATTTCTGATTAAGTATTGGGAATCAGTTTCCCTTGCCACCTAAAAATCACAATTTTAAGACAAAATATTATGTAGTATCACATAAAATTCAATGTTTGCTCCAAAATAACAGATACTCTAATACTATCGGTACTTAGTCAAACCACTTCATTTTCTGAACCTTCTTAACTTATTAATTATAAAGGCGAGTTTATACATGCATAGATTTGCTGAAGCTAGTAGCTGCACCTGTCCTGTTTGCACGCCAGTGAATGCCTGTTGTTTATAAGTAAACCAAACTTGTTTTCTAAAACTTTTGTTGATTTCTTTGGTAGTAGGCCTATTTAAAATTAGGTCTTAAACCTTGTTCTGATATTGAATATTATTCATTATCACAGTGGCATTGCCTTTGCTTACTTTTAGTATATTTAACATACATTTCTAATTCCATTTTTCATTCTATTTCTTTTTTTATGTGAATTTAAATACCAAAACACTCTTTTAAGACTAATTAAGTATGTCTAGTTTTAGAACAGATGCAAGGATATGGACAGTAGCAAATTTGGGACATACATCTAAATAACAATAATATATTTCAGAAGGGCATTCAGATCTCTCTTTTTGGATAGATGCAATTTAGATAAACAAGAAATCTCACAAGTCCCCAAAGGAATTATTCCTCTCAATAGAGAATAGGACCACTAAAGAAAATATTTCAATAAATACATATTGATAAGAAACAATATGATCATCCAAAAACACAATAGATCAAATCTATACCTAAAAACATTATACTAGGAATGGTTATCTGTAAAGAAGCAATATGAATGCATATTAACATACATAAGAAATTAAAGTAACTTACACAATGTCAACTTTTCCAATTTAGCATAAGTACTAGCTATATGCCTTCCCACATTCTTTGCAATAAGCATGAACTCACTATGGCTTTGTATAACCCTTGATTTCTTTGGGTCCCTAGCAGCTACTGCCCTAGCAATATTTCTGCCTTGTAATGTCTGTATAGTATTTACAAATTCACTAGTTCTGTCTCTGGCAGTCATGACTAATTCTGGTTCAGTGTAATCTTCAATATAATCTTCCTCTAAATAGTAGTCAGAGGTAACATTGTTTGGATACACCGTGTGTGATTGATTTGTCTGAGGCTGAGAGTTAGTCCAATAATTATCGTTACCTACTATAACTTGGGGGGGCTCAGTTTCAGAGCCAGCTCGGCGACGTCTAGGAAGCATTGCATTCTTAGAGACTACAAAATTAATTTTAAAAGTAGCACAACCATATTTAAAGCACTAATTTCACTATTTCACTTTATACTATATTTTTATCACCTACTCTGTAGTTTTTACCATGACTAATTGTTTAATAGGGTTTAATATGATTAATTGTAATTAATAATGAACTTTACTTTTTCTTTTGAAAGTACACGTCTATTTGCCTTTGCCACATGACGTATACATATGACAGTGACAGATTGAAATATCTAATTTGGATCCTATTTTCACTATTTTGTTCTGGGTTACAGCAAAAAACACAGTAATTGTTTTTAATTCATTACTTTGTCATTACATTAAGGAAATAGAACAAATTATATGGTTTTTTAAAACTATAATTGCTACAAAGTGATTAAGGGTGTTTCAAAATTATTTGGTTTTCTTGAAGAAAAGACAGAATTTAATTTTCTAAATTTACTCCTATTAACGTTTTACTTGTTGCCTACTTTAAGGTATTAGTATGTTTGACATTGTGTTCTTAAATAAATCTACTCGAAAGTGATCAACACCAAAACAAGACTTCCACCACAAAAGTCAAAACATAACACATAACGTCATTGACATTAAGAGAGGCAGTGACAGCTCACAGATTTCGAATGGGTTTTTAAGTCCACGTATATTAATATTAAATATTATACATATAACTAATTTGTTTTAATTTTCAGAAACTTTGTAATAAGTTCAACTATGACGTCTTTAAGACAGAAACAAATCAGTAAGTATTCACATTCCTAAGTTTAAAAAACCAAAATTAATTATGTTTTCTTTCTAGGTGCTATAAAGCAAATGTTAAATTTAAATCAACCCCAGACGAAGTTATCAGCCTCTGAACCTGTATGGAAAGTATTAATTTATGACAGGATAGGACAAGATATTATATCTCCCTTGATTTCTGTGAAAGAATTACGAGAACAAGGTGTTACATTGTTTGTGTAAGTTAATGTTACAAAAATTGTACTTAAGTTTGAATTTATTTTGATTTCGTTAATAACATTTTCAGCCAGTTACATTCTGATAGAGATCCAATCCCAGAGGTTCCTGCAATATATTTTTGTGCTCCCACGGAAGATAATTTAGATAGGATAAGTCAAGATTTCCAAAAAGGAACATATGACATATATCACCTGAATTTTATTTCTCCTATATCTAGAGATAAATTAGAAGATCTAGCTTCAGCAGCAATAGCAGCAAACAGTGTAGCAAATATTCATAAGGTATTTAGATATTTTTTATAGCTTTACTCTTTAAGTATATATCTCTTATCTGGCAATGAGAAGATTTCTAATGTGTGATAAACATCTAAAACGATTTTTAGATATGTATAGGGTTTTAGTCTTGCTAGAGATAGTTTATTGATAATTATTTATAAATATCAGTAGTTTTAACTTTCTTTAAAACATTCCCAGGAGAATATAATTTAAGTTTAATAGCTTAAATACTGTGGAAGAGATAATAAGTATTTTTCTTAAAGACAGTGTAGCTGCTGATTATGAGGTCCTTTACTGTTTTGTTTCTTTTACCATACTAATACTAATTGATTCATACTAATAATTAATTTGTGGGAATAAAATTGACTCAAACTTAATGTCACAGTACATCTTAAAAAATAAAATGTTTTTAAAAAAAGTGAGTTATTCACACTTATTAAATGTGTGTTTTATTCTTTTATTAGTATTTTCATTGTTTTCTTATGTATTTCTATTGTTTTTGTACTTGTTTTTGTAAATTCATAGTTTTTAACTGTGGTTGTATTAAAAAGTTTATGAAAATTTGTCAGGATAATCATGGAATATAGAATTTTAGTTCTCTTAAAAAAAGGGTAACAAAGGGATTTTTGACAGAACTTAAACTAGTACAACCTTGTTTTGGGCTCTAGACCAGTTACTTATATGCAATATCTACACATTCTTAAGAAGGAATATCCACCACTCTTACACACAATAAATACACAGATTGAAGATGTACAATAATATACTAAAACAATATAATAAGTGGCCTGGTAGCCAACATAAAAAAACTGATAATAAATGCATAACTTTATTTACTTAATGAAGTAAAAAATTTACAGAAAAGCAAGGGTAAAATGATAAAATATACATAAAAATAATAGTATTCACTATAATTAAAATTACTGTATATCTGTCGTTTTAATTTCCACCTCTGAAATAATTTTCAAAATATAATATAATATATTGTCTATTGGCTGTGTATCTTTTGATGGAGTGGCTGTTGGTATTCTTCAACCTCTTAGTTAAAGCAGGATATATTAATCTCTGGCATTTGGTCATAAGACTTATGTACCATACACCTGTTATTATATGGGCTCATTTGTAAATGATAATTAAATGACTCTCTCTATCTGTCTCATAAGTATAGTATACATATAAACATATTACCAGTTTGTTCCTTTTTCAGGTTTATGATCAGTACATAAACTTTATTTCATTAGAAGATGATTTATTTGTCCTAAAACACCAAAATAGTGATATTATGTCATATTACAGTAAGTAGGCATTGAAACAAAATTTCCATTTGATTAATGCAGATATTTTCAGGTATAAACAAAGGTGATATAAAAGATTCAGAAATGGAGGCTATTATGAACAATATAGTGGATAGCTTGTTTTCAGTCTTCGTAACTTTAGGTAACCCTAAAGCTTTTTTGGGATTTTTTGTATGTAGTAGACAATATTAAAAAAAAAAAGATTGTATATTAATGATATCAAAAATATGAACTATAATTTTATAGTTTTGCATTAATCTTAACAACCAGACCTTAAATAAGAGTATCATTTATTTTACAGGAACTGTGCCAATAATTCGAAGTCCTAAAGGAAATGCAGCCGAAATGGTAGCAAAAAAGTTGGACAAGAAGTTGCGAGAGAATATTTTTGATACTAGAAATAATTTGTTCATTTCGGATGCACAATCCGGAAATTTCAATTTCCAGAGGCCTCTATTGATAATTTTAGATAGAAACGTAGATATGGCGACATCATTACATCACACTTGGACTTATCAGGCACTTGCTCATGATTTGTTAGATTTGGCTCTAAACCGAGTTACTATTGAAGAATCTGTCCCAAGTGGAGGTAAATGTTTTTACTTAGTATTTTTTCAGTCATTGTACATTTAATAGACATTACGTTATTGTTTATTAACGGATTTTAATTTAGTATATCTCATTTTGTGTATCTTTTTTTTTTCTGAAAAATATGTCTGTTGATGTCAAATCTCTAAATAGACAAGTTTCTAAGTTATGAGCAAAATATTGAGTTTGAAAAACTTGTTTTTTTTTAAATAGTTCCACTAAAAAATTGGTGAATCCCTAGATGAGAGTCTTTTACTTGATTGTTCTACATCACAAAAGCTGGAAGGAATGCAAAGACTGGCGAGGCATGTGCAGAAAAGCTAAAACTCTTAAAGGGTTGTATGGGCATCAGAAGTAAAAGTATCCATTCTGTGTCGATTATAATATGTACTAAATGAGGCAAAGAATTATTTTTCAGAAAATGTTTCATATTGAAAGATTTTTCCAAAATTGTTACTAACTATGACAGTTTTGAGCTGGAAACATTTGAGATGTGGCTATATCGGAGAATGCTTAAGATCCAGTGGACTGATCAAGTCACAAATGAAGTCCTCAGAAGAATGAATAAGAACCGAGAGGTCCACCATCAAATCTCGAAATTTACAGTTCTTCAGACATATTATGCGAAATGAATCCAGATATGCTCTCCTTCAAGCGATCCTACAAGGAAAAATATTTGGAAAACAAGGTCCAGAAAGAAGAACATCTTGGTTAAAGAACCTGAGAATCTGGTTCAATACAACATCTGTGCAGCTTTTCCGCGCCGCTGCAGATAAGATCAAGATTGCCATGATGATCGCCAACATTCGTAATGGATAGGCACATCAAGAAGATGACAGTTTTGATGAATTATTTCACATAATTAGTGTAAATTTATTTATGTTTGTGTTTGAATTCATTTGCTTATATTTTTTACAGGAGCGAGAGCCAAGAGTCGATCTTGTGAGTTGGATTCTAAAGATAAATTTTGGTCTACACATAAAGGTTCTCCTTTTCCCACCGTGGCCGAGGCAATCCAGGAGGAGTTGGAACAGTACAAATCATCAGAGGGAGAAGTGAAAAAACTAAAAAGTTCAATGGGAATCGATAACGAAAATGATATCGCTTTGACGATGGTATCTGATAATACAGCTAAAATTACGTCGGCTGTCAATTCCTTGCCACAATTATTAGAAAAGAAACGCCTGATTGATATGCATACTTCTGTAGCTACATGTAAGTATTGTTTACTCAAAAGGAATTATTGGGCAGGTTTTATAATCAGTAGTTTCCTTATAAATATCCACATCAATAATAATAAAAATACATTCTCGTACTAAGTAATTAACTTCAATTCTAATATATTTTTAGAAATATACTATTCACAATTATAAGATATGTTATTAAATAGTAAAATATTAAATATTCCGCCATCTCTAATGCTAAACGATTAACTTGTTTGAAATAGCTCTATGATAAGCAAATTTTTAAACACACTTTGTGAATAGTGCAGGAAGGTGACGTAATGCATCGATGTTGATATAAATAATAACAACTTCATAACTAATAATAATTAATTCATAAAATATTATGAATATGATGTTTAAATGATTAAACTTGTTACCGATTGGTAACAAATTAGTTTTTACGACTGCTAGTCAACTCAGATAGAATTTGAACGGCCTATTTTTGGTTTTTAGATGAAGTATTGTTTTTGTTTTAAATAAAATTTGGAGATACGCTTTTTGCGAACTAATATTTTGAAAGCAAAATGGAAATACGCATTTTTCTGAAAAAAGTTTATTTTTTTAATGCAAATAAACCAGTAACATACTTAAGGATTACACATCAGTAATTGTAACAAAAAAATGAATGCTTAAAAAAATTTTAAATCGGAAAATATAATACACAGGATTGTTGACAGGAAAAGTTTTCTTGTTTAATAGATATAAATATATTTTTGTTTGTATATTTAATTGCCTTTAGGTCAACTACCTGGGGATCTCAGACTTTTTAAGATAAAATTTATATTACCTTCAGTGTTTTTAAAAAATCATGTGATAAGTACTCTGTAGTCTGTAGTCATAGTTAATTGTGGAGTTTCGAATCAAACTGTCTATCGTAGAATGCATGCTATCTGCCTCCATCTGGGTATGACCTTTTTGGAGATACTTATATTTTTTATTATAGTTAAATCTTTTTCTATTGCTAAGATGAATAGGGCGTTAGCTAACACAGAATTTCTGTTTTGAGCAGCGTAACCATCGCTATACAAAATATAATTAGTTTTTTATCACGAGGATTTGCCATTACTTTCTTTTTGAGGAAATTTACTATTATGGTTGCATCTCTGTTTCATTACAGAAAAAACATTCACCTTGCTGGCGTTTTAGATGGTAAATCGTAAAATTATGTATGATAAGTTTTGTTCTGTAATAGAGGAAGCTCACATTGGACTATGGACAGAGTAGCACAGATTGCAGATCAATTGTAAAAACTTCATTATCTGATTCTTTGTCAGTAGTAACCTTGAACTATTTGCCCTGCAGTAATGCGACTCAAGTTTGGGTAACTTGTCAAAAAAAATTGTTTAGTTTTTTATTGCTTCTCCGCTTTTTGGCTTCTTTTCAACTTGCTTATTATCTGTAACTGGTTCTCTGGCACACTTCTTTATGGCAATTTCTCCAATACAGAGTGTATTTAAAAACATCTTTTTGCATACTCGATTAATGTTCAGTGTTTAAATAAAACTCGGTCGATGTTTGCCTTCTAGATATTTCTCGTTCTCCCCTTCGTCTCGCTGTAGGTTTCACAATTACTAATGTAGTCACAAAAGTTTTTTTCTCACCCCAAGTTTTTCACATTTCAATTTTGTCTTGTCGTCCCTGCTTAACTTGCAATTGCAACGAGGTTTCATAGTTTTTGCTGTCTTTTCTATATTGTAACTCCATTAATCATTTTCTCTTTTTCTTTCCTGATACTTAATCCCATTTTCTCTATTCTTGTAGTTCTCGTGTTTGCTCCATTTGTTTTTGTCTGTTTTACTCCATTTAGACCTTGAATGGTTCGTTGATTCTTATGGATTCAGTGTACTGTTGTTCGGATCGTTTTCTCTACATCCTTCATTACTCATAAATTCTTCAAAACCACTACCTATCTCTTCTTCCATATCTGCTTCCATGATTATGAAGTCCGGGTCTTTGGACGTTTCATACGGCTGAGGCTTGGCGCATCATAAATCGAAACACTGTCAGAGGTAAAAATCGAAACTCTTCAAAATACCCAAGTAATTTTAAAAATAATTTGGGAATTTCTGTGGATGACCCTCATGACATAGCTGAATCTTTAAGTCAACATTTTTCGAATTCCGTAAAAAATTTAATTAGTCAAACTTCACCTGACTATAATCCTAAGAATCTTTCTTCGCCTATACACTCCCTTTTCCTTTATCCTGTTAGTGATGAAGAAATAAAGAGTATAATTAAAGATATCTCAAAAAAATCCTCTGCTGGACTGGATGAGATCCCGTATTCTATGTTATTACATGTATCTCATAACATATATAAACAATTAACATTTCTAGTAAACCTTTCATTTCAGGAAGGGATTTTTCCTCAAATTCTAAATACTGCTCTAGTTGTGCCTATACATAAAAAAGGTGACAAATCAAAATTTGATAACTATCGAGGCCTATCACTTTTATCGGTGTTTTCAAAAATATATGAGAACTCACACGTCTCCTCTCATGTATTAAAAGGCACAACATTATAGAAAAGTCTCAATTTGGTTTCCGTGAAGGTATAAGTGTGCAAGATGCACTACTAGCGCTGTGCAATCATATTTTATCGAACTTTGATAAGGGTAATAAAGTTATCTGTTTGTTTTTTGACTTAGCACGAGCTTTTGAAACTGTAAATCATCCAATACTGCTGGAAAAACTTTATCATAGTGGTGTTAGAGGAACTGCGTTAAAGTGGATCCAAACCTTTTTATCGAAAAGGTTTCAAAAAATTAAGGTTAATGTGAATGGAAATATAATATTTTCTTCAGAAGAAAGTGTCCTCTCCGGAGTTCCACAGGGAAGTATCATTGGCCCTCTTTTATTTTTGATTTTCGTCAACGATTTAAATCAAAGGATAAACGATAGCTCAACATGTTTGGTTCGGAATCCATTAGATAATTTTTCTGATGCAATAAGCGTTCGAGGAGAAAACTTGGAACAGCAATCAGGCTGTTACGTCACTCAATTTGCTGACGATACCACAGTTGCACTAAATTCCAATAATTTTTCTCATGTAGTTCAAAAAGCAAACTGTCTTGTAAAAAGTATGAGTCTTTACTGTTTAAATAATGCCCTAATCCTAAATGGATCAAAGACCAATATGGTAACCTTTTCACCTTCTACTATGAGATGAGTCCATTAGTAAGGCTTGACAATGGGTCTGTGGTAAATAGCCACTCCACCAAGTTGTTAGGTGTTTATCTGGATTCTAATTTGTCTTGGAGTTCTCACGTTGATTATGTAGTGAGAAGATTGTCTGTACACTGTTATGTTCTATGGCAACTTAGGAATTTTGTCTCCCTAGAAATCTTGAAACTTTACTATTTTGCTCATGTACAGTCAATTTTGCAATATTGCTTAGTTTGTTGGGGAAATTGCTCGCGTATTAATGAGGTGCTTGTTCTTCAAAAAAAAATTATTCGTACCATGACGTTTAGAAGGCGCTTGGATTCCTATAGACCAATTTTTAAACAATTAAATATTTTAACTGTAATTTCGCTGTATATTTTCAGTTGTGTTGTATATGTAAAGTCACATAGATGTAATTTTATTTCCAGAAATGATGTTTCCTTAATGAGTGGCTACAATTTTCGTTACAGAAATGATTTGGTGACCCCTGCTCGTCACTTGACTGTTAGGGCAAGGGTCCTTACCCAACATGCGTTAGTTTGTATAATAAATTACCTAATTATGTTAAAGAGTTAAATATTTATGTATTTAAGAGAACAGTTAAAAAATTACTTCTGGCAAACACTTTCTATTCGTTAGAGGAATACTTGCAGGCATCTTTTTAACAATTTGCATGTTTTTGTGTATATTTTATGTTTTATGATTGTGCTTATAGTTTTTACTTTTTTTTACTACCTATGTACCTATAGTTTTTTATATTGTATTTTGACGCATTTCAATACTTGTAAAAGTCAGATGAAATAAAGAATATTGATTGATTGATTGATTGATTGGACGTCTCATTGTCTTATCAGTTCGAATTTTGCATGCACGAGATGCTTTCTTCTGATCTTACTTTGCCAGTAGTGACTGTACTTGTAATATTAACATTCCCCAAATTCATTTTGATGAGTATTTCTCCGGTTTCTCTTGCATATTTCTCGGGATCATCAATAATTGGATTGCTATTTACTTGCATACTGTTTGTTTGCACGGCAATAACATTGTCGATGGTATTTTGCTTCATGGATGAAGCAAGAGTAAAGTTGTGTAAATCAGGCTTTTAAACTTGAAAATGGTCCCTTTTTCTCAGTGTCGTCTAACTGTGACGGCACTTGTAGGTTTATAATCCTGTCTGCTCTTTTAGCCATTTCTGTAACAAAATAAAATGTTCAATCTTATTTTACTTTTTACTTTAATATAAAAAAAAATAAACTAACTTTACACATATTTTTTTTATTTAACTAGATTTCAACGAAAAATCATTCCATACTAAATACGAAAGCATTCAAATATAAATAAATTTGAAAGAGAACAATTACTGACTTTTAAAATAGGTATGCATATTATTAAACGCTAAATATGCGTATCTCCAAACGTAATAGATAGTGATTTATATTAGTCATTCTTAAACTTTTTCGATTATTGCATAAATAATAAAAAATAGACTTACCTTTTTATGCTATATAAAACAACACGCAGAGTTTAAGCAAAAATGGAAGATTTTTACGATAAAGTTCAAGAACAACTACTGACCTGTGTCAACCAATACAAATGGGGGGGATTCTGCTTGTCAACAATTTGATGATGGAGTTAGGCAATTTTCTGTGATGGCTTTTATTGCGAAACGGTAAATGCTGCGGAGACGGGTATTTTTCAGGCTAAAGATATGGTATCGTTGTACCAGAGGGCGCGCGCGCTAAAAGTCATATTTGAAAAAAAAAATGGAGTTACCCACTACGCGAATTACACTAACGATATCTAAGATTTGGGTACAATAATGGGAAATGGAAGCGCAATATCGTAGAAGATGGAGGGCTATATAATAATATTAAATAGTAATTGTTTCAGTGAATCACCTGCAGTGTTTTACAAATAATTTTTCTTCTTTATTTTGTAGCCTTGCTTAATTGCATTAAATCTAGAAAATTAGACACGTTCTTTGAATTAGAGGAAAAAATAATGAGCAAAGCACAAGGTTTGGAAAAATTGTTAATGGATACATTAACCGATCCTACAGCGGGAACACCTGAAGATAAACTACGATTATTCATAATATATTTTATTTGTACACCTCATATATCGGATCAAGATTTACACAAATATGAAAACGCATTAACCGAGGCTGGCTGTGATTTATCACCACTGCTGTATATTAAAAGATGGAAGTAAGTACATATTTATTTTATAAATCTGGGAGGTTTATTTACAATATTGTTGTGTTACATGCCCATAATTGCGGTCCTATGCTTGGCGAAGCCGAGAATTTGGTATTGTGGAATCGGCCGCCGGAGAGTGGACTTTTGGCGACCATTCAAACAATAATCCAATAAGGATATTGTGTTGTAAAAGTTGTTTTCTTCTTCTTAAAGTGCCCTCTCCTCAATGGAGGTTGGCTACTACAATTTTAAACTCTTCTCTATCTTCAGCTGTTCTTATTAGCTGTTCAAAATTTAGCCCTGTCCATTATCGGATGTTTCTGAGCCACGATAGTCTTTTCCTTCCTAGGCCTCTCTTTCCCTCGATTTTTCCTTTCACTATAAGTTGGGCATATTGGTACTTATTATTTCTCAGTATGTGGCCTAGGTATGATGTTTTAAAGCATTAAAGTTGTTTTAAAGCAACATATTGTTGTAATTAAAATTTACAATTTTTTAGAAAAAGAAGATTGAGTTAAAAAGATGAATTTAATAAATTTAACAATCGTAAAATAGTTTCGAAACACAATTCAGATTTCTGCTTTATAATCTGAGCCTTCTAAGAATTGCAAGGCAAACAGACGTTGATAAAAGATGTTAAAAGAGACATGGGGAATCTAAAATTTGCATTCCACGACATGTCTTTTACAACTAAGCAGAAATCCTTAGCTAATTGTGTTTCTCGTACTACACAGAGTATATCCGAATAAAATGAGAAAAGGCAGCAAATATTTGATTTCACGCAAACAAATCCTATGTATCTCTTGATACGTATTTCGACCTAATAGGTGTCGTCAGAAGAGCTATTCATAGGGGTTCTCAACGTGAAAAATCAATATTTTCTGCCTTTTAAGAAGCAACAATAACATGGCTTCAATACGGACGTAGTAGCGACATCTAATTAAACAATCGTAAAATAGTTTCGAAAGGCTCAGATTATAAGCAGAAATCTGAATTGTGTTTCGAAACTATTTTACGATTGTTTAATTAGATGTCGCTACTACGTCCGTATTGAAGCCATGTTATTGTTGCTTCTTAAAAGGCAGAAAATATTGATTTTTCACGTTGAGAACCCCTATGAATAGCTCTTCTGACGAGACCTATTAGGTCGAAATACGTATCAAGGGATACATAGGATTTGTTTGCGTGAAATCAAATATTTGCTGCCTTTTCTCATTTTATTCGGATATACTCTGTGGGAGTACGAGAAACACAATTCGCTTTGGATTTCTGCTTAGTTGTAAAAGACATGTCATGGAATGCAAATTTTAGATTCCCCATGTCTCTTTTAACATCTTTTATCAACGTCTGTTTGCCTTGCAATTCTTAGAAGGCTCAGATTATAAAGCAGAAATCTGAATTGTGTTTCGAAACTATTTTACGATTGTTTAATTAGATATCGCTACTGCGTCCGTATTGAAGCCATGTTATTGTTGCTTCTTAAAAGGCAGAAAATATTGATTTTTCACGTTGAGAACCCCTATGAATAGCTCTTCTGACGAGACCTATTAGGTCGAAATACGTATCAAGAGATACATAGGATTTGTTTGCGTGAAATCAAATATTTGCTGCCTTTTCTCATTTTATTCGGATATACTCTGTGGGAGCACGAGAAACACAATTCGCTAAGGATTTCTGCTTAGTTGTAAAAGACATGTCATGGAATGCAAATTTTAGATTCCCCATGTCTCTTTTAACATCTTTTATCAACGTCTGTTTGCCTTGCAATTCTTAGAAGGCTCAGATTATAAAGCAGAAATCTGAATTGTGTTTCGAAACTATTTTACGATTGTTTAATTAGATATCGCTACTGCGTCCGTATTGAAGCCATGTTATTGTTGCTTCTTAAAAGGCAGAAAATATTGTTTTTTCACGTTGAGAACCCCTATGAATAGCTCTTCTGACGAGACCTATTAGGTCGAAATACGTATCAAGAGATACATAGGATTTGTTTGCGTGAAATCAAATATTTGCTGCCTTTTCTCATTTTATTCGGATATACTCTGTGGGAGCACGAGAAACACAATTCGCTAAGGATTTCTGCTTAGTTGTAAAAGACATGTCGTGGAATGCAAATTTTAGGTTCCCCATGTCTCTTTTAACATCTTTTATCAACGTCTGTTTGCCTTGCAATTCTTAGAAGGCTCAGATTATAAAGCAGAAATCTGAATTGTGTTTCGAAACTATTTTACGATTGTTTAATTAGATGTCGCTACTGCGTCCGTATTGAAGCCATGTTATTGTTGCTTCTTAAAAGGCAGAAAATATTGATTTTTCACGTTGAGAACCCCTATGAATAGCTCTTCTGACGAGACCTATTAGGTCGAAATAGGTATCAAGAGATACATAGGATTTGTTTGCGTGAAATCAAATATTTGCTGCCTTTTCTCATTTTAATAAATTTAATTATGAAGTTAAATTGTTTGCTAACAAAAACCAGTTAATTGTATGAATAAAGTCAATGGTAAATAGATGGTAAGGTAAACCAATACCTATTGATAATAGTTATGATTGTATGCTAATGAATAAAAGAGAAAGTAGATTCAAAAAATAAAATTCATTATGATATTTCTCGTGAGGTTGGTTGCCTATGTAGGTGGCTATTGGCTAGTTTAAAGTAAATCGGATTGAAATAAATAATCTCTATATGATACAGTAATACAGTAAAAAGATTTATGGGAAACATGGATCTGTTTGTCGAACCAGACTGATTGAGGATCAATGTACTATGTTGAAAAATTGATACAGCTGGTATGCAGGTTGAAATTTGTTTTTAATGCGAGTGGAATGTGCAAAGTGTAAAATTAATAATTTTGAATATTGGAACAAAAAATATTATTTTAATAGTCATTTACTTTTGCATCCATTATCCATATTTATTTTCTAGGAGCTATACTAAAATGGCAAGTGGAATAGGTAATCAGTATGAAGGTGCTGGAACCAAAACTGTTAATATGTTTTCCAAGTTGGTATCACAAGGTTCAAACTTTGTAATGGAAGGAGTCAAAAATTTAGTAATTAAAAGACATGTAAGTTTTTATTCCAATTATCAGATTTTTCTCTCAAATCTATTTCCTATGTTGAAACGGTTAATAAACTTGAAACGTTGCATACCAATTATCATCTCTGTGCTCAACTAACGGTAGGCACATATTGGATTTACTTGTGGTACAAGTATAGTCGGCACGTAATTTCGTGAGAAAATTTACTGAGACCAAAGCAAGCAAAATACTAGTAAAATGGCAACGCTGTTAGAGTTACCACTACTTTATTGTAGTGCATAGTAGTAGAACAGTAGCGTAGATATCTAATTTTAAATTAAATAAAAGTTTTTACTTTTATTTAATTTTATTTACCAAAAAGTTTCATTTTCTATAAAGTTTAAATAAAAAATATCGGTGTTTTTAACTTCTGTGATATATCTTGGGAGTGATAACACTAATCGACTCGACTGAACAGAACTTATTGTAAAATATTAATATCTATATAAAACATTGTTAATAATAGTAGTTATTCAGCGAGAATGACAGTGACAGTTTCAGTTGACATCCTCCCCCAAAACATTAATAATTTTTGTCATATCAAGAAGTGTGTTTATACCCTGTTTTCAAAGATATATAAGCAAAATGAGAATATCTGCAATTAAAATAGAAATAAAGGTTTCAACTAACACCTAATAAGTACTTACTATCTACTCAGAATCAATTTTATCACTAGTACCACTCGTATCATCTAAATTTATAGGTAATTTGGTTAATGCTGATAAATATTTAACATAGTCATTTTCCACTCCGATCACATTTTTTATTTTTATTACATTTTTCCAGTTGGTTGCTGTAATTTTTGTGACTTCTCTTCTAATTAACTGGAGAACAGTAGACAAAAAATTTTGGAGCAACGTTTCTTCTCATTATATTTCCTTTAAGTTAAGCCCATATTAACTCTATTGGGTTCAATGTACAATAATAAGGAGGAAGTCTAAACACAGTATGCCCGTTACTACGAGCACAGTTGTCAACAACGTATTCCTTTTCGTACTGTTTACTATGAACAACCTCCAACAATTGCTTTTTAATATAAGATGTCTCAAAATACAAATCTTCCGTGAATAAAAATTCCTGAATTTTTAATTTATTCCAACTATTATTTGAAGTTTTTTTCAATAATCTTGAATGATATGATGCGTTGTCCATGATAATCACACTATCTTTAAGTAATTTCGGAAGAAGACATTTTTCAAACCATGATTCAAAAATTGAACTTTCCATATGGTCACGATAATCCAGGGACGCGTTTTTAATTTGTTTTGCAGATATGAATAATGCATCGTCGACCCATCCATTTTTTCCACCGCAGTGTAAAATTATAATCCGCTTTCTTTTATTGGGCGGTACTGAGTTAAAACACTTTTTGTTATTATTTGTCCAACTTTTTTTTCACGGTGTCATGAGTATCATACCAGGTCTCATCTAAATAAACAATATTTCGTTTCATTTTTCGATACTCAGTTATCTGTCTGATATAATTGTTTCTTAAAGAAATTATTCTAGTACTTTCCATTAATGTCTGTCTCTTGTCTATAGTTTTGTAGTTAAAATTATTGGCTTTAAAAAATAATCGAAGTGTTGTTGCTGAACACGAGAGAATGCACTTTCGAACTAATTGACTTCGAAGGCTTTCAATAGTTGGAAAAATATTAGCCGCATACATTTGGTATATTGTTCTCGTTATAGATTCAATTAAGTGCGGTTCTATTTTTCTGAATTTGTCACAATCCTTTCTCTTCTGTCTAGAAGAAGATGTTTCTTCTATAATTTTGTAGCAGGTTGCTTTGGGCACTCTGGTTAAAAAACATGTTTCTGCAATTGCCTCTGATTTACACAATTCAGCACACAGTCCTTCATAAACATATTTTAGCATACGTTTGGCATCATCAGAAAGGTATTGAAAATGTCGCTTACGTTTTACTACACGCCTTTGTAAATCTTCCAATCGATTAGAGGGTTCCATTGTCTCTTCAGCTACATAATTATTATCGCACCACGGACGCAATATTTTAAAATTATCAAACGTATAAAAACAATCACTTAAAAACGTATCAAAAAAAGTAAAAAACGTAAAATATAAAATGTTTTCCGTATAAAGAACACTGAAAAAAGTCACTACCAAACTAACTTGCGGTTCACTATTTGAAATTTGAATTTAACTGAACGCTGTAGCAGTTATGATTTTACTAAAAATATTCTTGTCTCCCAAAAATCTGTTGGTCATATCCGCAATTTAAAAATAAAATATAAAAATTGGCCTACCCCGTCCCGTGCCGCAAGATTATACCAGGCACGTCTGAATGTTAATATCGAGTCGAATCTGGAAACTTTGTATTATTATACGTCTGAGTCATTGATAATTTTACAGACTCCTGGTAGAGTACCTTTTAGTTGAATGATTTTATTACAGATACATATATTTTTGCACAGTCTCACGGAAATACGAGGCTACTATACTTTACTATACTTTGTTTCAAGTTAAGAAAATAACATTGCGCTGATGGAGATCAGTGTTTCCAAAACTCTCAGGCGCGTGTTGCAATTGGATTGTCGATATATGATTCATTCTAATCAGAGTCGTATTCAGCACTGTGTAGTTGTAGTTAATTAATTTCACTAATAAAAGGATATGTATAGTTGAATACAAAATAATGCATTATAAATATTTGTTTCTTTAATTGGCAGATATAGCTATGTAATTATTATAGGTCTAATAAAAATAGTTACATTTTACTATTGTTTAACATTACATATTTATTAACGCTTACACCTATGTAGTCACGTACAAATAAAATATAAGTATTGTTATAGATAGAAAATGTAAAAAAAAAACAAAAACTTATAAACACTCAACCTTACATTTCGTCAATTATTTCTTGTATTAATAGAGGAAGATAATTGTTAAAACAAAATTCTCCTAATTTTTTGACCAGTTGCTATCTTATTTGCTCATTTTTTTCTCGAATATCAATCTTTTCGGGGTCCACACGCAAAAGTAACAAAAGTTTTTATTTGCTACAAAAACTGCCCTTGAATTTGGTAGTAGTACGCATGATTTCTCTTTAAAATATATCTATCTTTCATTTCCATATACTTTAGTATCTTAGGAAGACAGATGAGACCATACTCTAAAAATATTTTCAAATATACAGGGACACCTATATCGACGGGGTAGAACAAACTTATCTTTTTTTAATGGAACACCCTGTATATTTGTACATTTTTGGATTCCTCTCGATGTTCCCGTTTTTTAAATATATGATGGGGGATATAGTTTGCATATAGCAAACTATCTCTTCCACTAAAAATATGACTAATCAAATGATCTTGTTTTCCTATTTTGCTGTACGGGACAGAAGCGCGGACGTTAACGGAAATATTAATGAAAAATGTCGGTTTAATAAAAATATATTGCTATCAGGAGCAAGCACTTGAGTTCGATTATAACTTCGTAGTATAAGAGGTGCTAGTTTATTGTAATAGAAAATATGTAATAATAATTTTATTATTTTTAATTTTTACAGAATCTTCCCGTAACAAAAATAGTTGATAATCTCATGGAATTTAAAAATAGTTCAGAAATGGAGGAATATTATTATTTAGATCCAAAACAACTGAAATTAACCGAAATTCCTAGAAATCGATCGGCATTCCAGGAGGCTATAGTTTTTGTTGTAGGTGGTGGAAATTATATTGAATATCAAAATCTAGTAGACTATGCAAAAGTAAGTTATACAAATATTAATATTTTAATTATTTTTACAGCAGTTACTTAAAAAAAGCTGTTGAATGAAAAATGAGTAGTTATATAACATCAATTTTTTTTGTTCTAAAACTAGTTTTTTGTGATATTTTTTAACCATAATTAATTATATGTAATAAAAATTAAATCTTTCTTGAAAATCCTTATCAATTCTCACCAAACTAAATGAAACAAATTGTGTAGCAAACATATCAATATAATGTAGCAAGATCTGGTTACCAATATTCAAAGAAAAAGTTACCACTAAGAATATACTACTACTGGCCAGTTAACAGCAGGTTAAAATCAGAGCATTTATAACAAGTAGATAGATCAGGATTTGATATCGATCCGAGGTTACAAGACTTCTCAGAATTTTTAGCTCCAAAGTGTAAATATGGTTGATGCATATAAGACCGACAATCACCGATCACTCACCGCCAATCATAAACATTTATATACTGGGTTCACTATTCCCAGTCCGAACTGTATAGTGAATTTAGTAATTATTTTTTTGCGAAGTTAGTTACTTTTTGACAGACTAAAAGTGGCTGAAAATTACTATACAACGAAGCACACATACTCATAGCCAATATTAATAGTAAACAAACTAAACAGTAAATAAAATATAACTTGGCGAATTACTGAAAATCAATAGTTATTTATCTGCACCATGTAATAAATAGTTATGTTAAATTATAACAACTAAAATGTACTTTTTAAATATATACTACCCAAAATTTGATGGGTTAGTATGCACTTCCACTATTTAGAATAATTCTTTTTTCAAAGAAAGAAGTCTGCAATAGTAGTAAACTTAAGCTATTAATACCAGAGAACTACGAACGCAGAGAAGCGACACTCCTTTGATCTTGCGTGGGCAAGCCGCCAACGAGTGAAAATGACAGAAAAGCACCTTATTTACTAATAGTCAGTGGGCATATTACACAATATAAATTCTTAAATAAAATTGAGCATTTATGTTGACTTTCAATAAATATGAAATATTGCACTGAAATAATAATTACATGCAGGGCCGGCTTTTGTTGACATTCTAAATGGTGTAATTATTTTTGATTTACAAAAGGTTGCAAATACATCGCACAACGCAAAGTAATGGTGAAAATCGTATTGATGGAACCATAGATGAAAATACTTTTTTGTTTATTCTGTTTTTGACATTGATAATACAATAATACACCGATTCTTTTTGGCTTGTGTTGATACAAGATATAATTTGTTCGTCGTGGAATTTCCTAATAAATTAACTTTCGTAATATAATCGAAAAATAACAAAGCCATTGTAACTGCCACGGATATTTCACAAACTCTAAAAATTCCAATTCTCTTTGGGTGAGACCATCGAGCAATAAGACAAAAGAGGGAATGTAAAGGTAGTGGGGGTAAACATATTGATAGACAGGAAGTGCCATCTTGAGAGGCCACTTTAGACAAGGATAGACAGTCTCTTTCCTTGTTTAAGATGTCAAATTTAGTTAGGTTATGTTATTGTTTGTCCCAACTGTCACATGAAATTTTATTTATATTGAAATCTTTTACCAATTGTGTCACTTTTTAGACTATTATAGTTAATATTTAATTAAAACTTTCTCGTCTGAAAAATATTTTATAGCTATTGTTAATAAGTGTTGGAAAATTTAAATTTAGCGCCTTTGCATTTCCGGATATGTCCGCCATCAGAGGCCACTTTTTTGGTCTCCTTTTCATAACGATTAGATTCCCTCTTTTATCTTTTTGCTCGATGGGTGAGACTGAGAAACAAGAAACTTTATATTGATATCGATTGTTAATGTCTTGGAAACCTATTAAAATTATATTTTTCCTTTAAAGTCGAATATTGGAGTAAACGATATTCGACTAAAACGAATAAAAAATCAAGAAGTAACTATTGTACGAGTATATTTCTATAAATATAAAAATGTAATAACCTAAAAAATAATCAAAAAAGTATTACGAATCATTACAAGAGAGCATTAGGAAGATAAAACGAATTTATATTATTGTCATTACACATGATTCGGATATACATAGTAAATCCAGACTTTCAGTTTAAACTAATATTTGGATACAATTTATTTTGTTTACAATAGATTCAGAGTTAATACATACGATTTTTAGTTGATTGGTATTGCCTTTAAAATTGTGTTTATCGTATTATATTGAAGTTTGGAAGGTACTGAGTTAGGCACCAATCTTTTTCTTTTATTGTTTTTGACAATAAGATTATCTTCAAAATGTAGTTCACAAATCCTATAACTAGTAAGTATATCCATTTTTAACAATAAATCTTCTCGTCTACAAGCTTCTATCCACCTTTTGGCACTACAAATTTTTAACAGAACAAATTTTAAACAAAGAATTTTTTGTATTTATAAATAATACTTCATTACTTACAACTATAAGAGTATTAGTATATTCTGAGTGTATTGTAAATAATGAAGTATTTAACTTTTGTCAATATCTCATCTTAATAAATTTACAGTTTTCTCCTGATTAAGTCACAAAATTGTCACTAAATATTGAGATATACAACAAATAAAGTTTTAATATTTTTTATTTGTAATTCCCATTTAAATATTTATTCCCGAAATATGTTGTGTACTCCGATCCATATATTTGATCTTTGTTATTTATATTTAACGAATTAAACATTGACAGACAACTTTTGTATATAGCAAAAAGTAGATGAGCATTTAGTTTTTTCATAATTTAATGTAAGTTTGTTTGGTGAAAAAGACAGCAAATATTTGAAGTTATGTTAATGTAAGTTTGTTTATTTGCAATCATGTTTTTATTTTGAAGTCTTGTTCTGTTGTAATTTTAAGATTTTCCCAATTTTCGATCTAATTATGTTTCCAACAATTTTTAGTTTGAGCATTTTAGGAATTTCTTTGTTTCGTTTAAATCAAATATTCTCGTGTATAAAACCCTCTATATATTTTTATTTCCTAAAAATACTATATTCGTATTATTGTCTGCGAGCGCTTTCACACCAGTAGGCCAACATCTGTGTTGATTTTTTGACCTGAGCCTTCGGAGACAATAAATTTAATGTGTGTTCGTAGTTCTCTGGTTTTTATTCTGAACTATCCCTTGGCAAACCAAAATTTATTTTTTATTTATACTCAAAGTCAAATTAATACTATTATGTAATAACTAATAATAATTACAAAGCAATAGTAATTACCTGTTATTATTCTTAGGAAATCTAAATAAACTTATTCCTTTTCCTGTCACAGATGAACATCCGCGAAACGCACAACAATAACCAGAAGACATTTTAAATACTTATAAATTAAACTTTTAACTATAAACTTATATATTTAACTTATATATTTTAACTATAACTATAAACTATAACTATAAACTTTTAACTACTAAATAATTAGATAAATGGTCAAATGCACTTGTATAGTCGAGAGTTTACCACGGATGCCTACGGACTATCGTAAGCAACTTAAAGTTGAAGAAAACGCACGTGTTTTTGACAGTAAAGCACCTTATTTGGGTCATGCGTATACAGAAAAGATACACGAATTTCGGGCCTCGTGTCGCTTCTCTGTGTTCGTAGTTCTCTGTTAATACTGAGAAGTAGGAATTGTTGTGTTGTGGGTTTCCGACAATGAATCTGTCAAAATATGCCCGAGCTAAGCGAATCGAGTGTAGGTTACAGGTCTTCACAATTTTTATTTTAAAGTCATTTGTATTTCCGGATAGGACTTTTCATCAACCGCCAATTTTCGTACAGACAAATTTGACAATGACGTATACATATTGTACGTCATATGCATGATACTATGACTCATGATACTATGCCTAACAAAATAGGATCTTCCCGTAGCACAAAATCGGTCGTGTTCGCGCATGCCGTCATTGGAGAGTAGAATTTAAATTCTTGTTAAAGTTAAATGGGATTTGTATGCATTCTGTGATGAAATTACTAGACGAAAATAAGTTAAGAGGTATAATAATACAATAATCGTACACATAAGGATATCTCCAAACTATTAAATATTATTTATTGATTCATACAAAAAACTGACATTTCGAACATGCAACTCTCCAATGACGTCACGACTTATGCGCAATATCTTATCTTCTTAGTCATAGTATCATGCTATGCTAACTTCTAATGATCATTAAATGTATCGGTTTGTATTCAAATTCATACCTCTTATTTGACTACTTATAATTTGCTTTGTAAATAAAAGGTAGTTTTACTGGTAATAGATCTTTACGGACTCGCCATAAAAATCATTTTACGGGTTTGTACGTGACTATTACTTGGACCGACAAATTAAATTTTAATTTGTCGGTCCAAGTAATAGTCACGTACAAACCCGTAAAATGATTTTTATGGCGAGTCCGTAAAGATCTATTACCAGTAAAACTACCTTTTATTTACAAAGCAAATTATAAGTAGTCAAATAAGAGGTATGAATTTGAATACAAACCGATTCCTCGTATCTCAAATCTTGCTCTTATCTCAAAGCAAAATATCGCTCGCTCCGCGGCTCGTATCTTAAAACACTCGGATATTAGGGCGCTCGTATATCGAGTACCACTTTAAATACTGTTGTGTTATAGTGTGAATCAATTATATTTTTGTTATAGGTAAAGACAACTGCGGGTAACGCAAAAAGGATATCTTATGGTTCAACAACATTTAACAACGCCAAACAATTTCTCCAACAGCTTGCTTTATTGGGTCAGGAGTTATAGTATATATTATTTTTTTTATAAATAAATATTTATTTAAATTTAATAGTTTGTTATATTATCGTATCCTGTAGCCCCTTTTTACATCATTATTTAGAGCTGCTGTCAATAAAGTCTCGATAGCGAATATGGTAGCCAACGATCGATTGAACTACTTTTATGAATGAAGACATTTCTTTGCAATAATTATCTGTCTAGAACCAAGTCAAAAAATGGTTGTGCACATTTGGTCTGCACTTTTGTATTGAGCAGAAGTGTGGACACTAAAAGTATCAAGCATGAAAAGAATTGAAGCATTGGAAATGTGGATTCATAGACGGATGCTGATGCCTTGTGGCATATATATTGTAGATTGCATTGAATGAAATAAAAAAAACTGCAGACTGGAATACCTACTCAAAATAGGTTATAAATAAAAATATACGAATCACTGAGCGTTAAATAGGAAGATAAGCATAACCTTCAATGATAATAATAGGGATGATCATGGTATTAAAATAAAAATATGATTTTCCCGCAAAATGTTAATTTCTGGGATAGAAAACCTAAAAACAATATTTTTCTTTCTTTTTAAGGAGTTTAATTATTATTTAATAATTAAAATGTTAAAGCTACGTAACAACCAACACCAATCAAATCGCATACTGATTTACTGCCAATATTATACTGTGCAATTACCTCGAAATTTATCGTGCCCGAAGTATCGCGTGCCCCCTCTGACAAAATCCATACGACGTCTACAAAAAAAAGCTCTAAAAGAACTTAAGACAAACACTCCTCCTACTTCAGAGTTTTCAAGATGCTTCTCTCTGAACGAAATAAACGATGGCCTCAGTCAAATTAAAAAAGGCAAAGCGGCAGGTTTCGATGGAATGTATCCTGAGTTCCTAATTCACTGTGGTCCAAAAACGCGACACTGGCTCAAAGACTTTTTTAGTGACATAATGAAGACATCTGTACTACCTCCAGAGTTCAAAAGAACCAAAGTTATTGCAATTTTAAAACCTGGAAAGGACGGTGAACTACCCGAAAACTATCGACCCATTGCCCTCCTCAGTTGCTGCTACAAACTACTAGAGCGACTTATATATAACAGGATATACCCCATCACCGACACTGTGATACTAGTCGAACAGGCCGGATTTAGAAGCGGGCGTAGCTGTAGTGATCAAGTACTGTCCTTAACGACATTTATTGAAGCCGGTTTCGAAAAACGGGAAAAAACAGCCGTAACGTTTATAGATCTGACGGCTGCATATGACACTGTGTGGAGAGAAGGCCTGATCTACAAGCTAATGAAGGTCATACCATGCCTGAAAACCTGCCAACTAATCAATAACCTTCTAACCAACAGACTGTTTCAAGTATATATAAACGATACAAAGAGCAATGTCGGAAAGCTAAATAATGGCCTCCCACAGGGTTCAGTGCTTGCTCCACTATTATTTAACATTTACACAGCCGATCTTCCAGAGACAAAATCAAAAATATTTGCTTACGCAGATGACCTGGCTATCGCATTTCAAAACCAAGCCAAAGATGTTGGAGAAAGGGCGCTTACCGAAGACTTAAGGGTTCTCTGCGACTACTTTAAACAATGGCGACTTCGCCCTAATACAAACAAAACTGAGACAAACCTCTTCCATCTCACAAATCAGCTTTCGAATGACACCCTTAGCATCACCTTCAATGGCGAGACTTTGAAACATAATAACAACCCTAAATACCTGGGTGTAACGCTCGACAGATCACTGACGTTCAAAACCCATCTTACGAATGTAGCTGCCAAAGTGAGAACCCGTAACAACATAACAAAGCTTGCTGGAACGACATGGGGTGCCACTGCGGATACACTTCGAACCTCCTCACTGGCCCTGGTGTATTCTGTCGCTGAATACTGCGCACCGGTATGGCTAAATAGCGCTCATGTCAACAAGATTGATGTTCAACTAAATTACACTATGAGAGTAATATCTGGTACTATTAAATCAACTCCACTAAGATGGCTTCCAATTCTGAGCAATATAGCACCTCCAGATATTCGACGAACAGCAGCACTTGTCAGAGAATATCAGAAAATCATAGCAAATAATCGTCTGCCAATTCACCAGTATATTCTGCACGCCGCACGAGACCAACAAAGACTGAAGTCCAGACGACCCCCTGTCCAATCCGTTCAGGGAATGGGTGATAGCTACAATAAGCAAGAGCAGTGGACGAAAAGATGGATGCCAACAACAGAGCCAGACGTCATCAAAATGTACGTCGATCGGCTTCACTGGATCAAACCTGCCACGCCCTATATGGACAAAATTAAATCGCATACGCACGGGTCATGGCAAATGTGCCGATTCTCTATACCGATGGGGTCATGCAGAAAGCCTACAATATGATTGTGGATCCCCAAGACAGACCATCCAACACATCATTGCGGATTGCCCAATCCGCAGATACAGCGGAGACCTTCAAGATTTTGCAGAGGGTTCTCCTGGTGCAATTGAATGGCTGTGCAATTTGGACATTAATATTTAATATTTAACTTAGGTTACAATTCGAATTTGAACATAATTATTATCTAAATATTACTTTTATCGTATTGTAATTATTCATACGCTAAATAAAAACCTCTAAATTTGCCTTTTAATAATTACAACCTTTTGGGGAACGATTTTAATAAGATTTTTGTCATAATGTGACTCTTAACAAAGGGTAACCTCTACTCTGTTGAATATAGAAATGTGAGGACCTCCCTTTCAGTAAAATTTACAAATAATTTTTATTCCTTCAACAATAATAAATAGATAATAATATATATTTGCATATTCTGATATATTGTGCAGCAACGGCAATTATTATGGACATTAAGATAAGAACACGACGGGGTACTAATATCGGAAGGACTGAAAACAGAATTGCACCCTGGGAAAAAAGACTGTTGAAGAATATTGAATTATTGCGTAAGGATATTGGACAAATTATGGAATACATTCGAGTAATAAGAAGTTGAAAAGTAATTACAAGAGCTGAAGAAATAATTCTGAACACTCTCAAGACACTCACAAGACTGCCTGGACACATTAAAACAGAAACTCTCTGTTTATTCAGGTCGCCTAAGGAGATACAAAGTTAGTAACAACCGGAAATGCGGCAATATACTTTTTGAGCAGGCAGAGGCTTTCTATAGGAAACTGAATTCCATTATAGAAAATAATAAAGACTACCTAATCCAAGAAGAAATTCATGAGTTTTGGGGAAACCAACTTTCGACGCCAGCTACTCATAACACAAATGCTGGTACTAAAGGCACGATAAACAACTGTAAACACTACAATAATATTCCTTATGAACCGTTCACTGAAGAAGTCTTAAACATTATCAAAGAGCTGTAAATCTCTTGGACAAGACGGAGTTCAAAACTTCTTGCTAAAGAACTTTCGGAGTCATGAATGTGTTGCTTGTGTGAGTCCATATCAAATAGGTAAAGAAATAATAATAAGACTTACTCACAATCAATTTAATTTAACAATTTGACGACCATCAATTAATAGAGTACCGGCATGTAAGTAATGTTTGTTTTGTTTTATTTATCTGCTCATTTATTAATTTATTACAATATAATATTACTACTTTATACCAATTGTGGGTCTTACCTTGTCTGTTAATACCTTTTATATATTCAAATTTATTCATTTTGAAAACCACAGACATGTAATATTGGCATAATTACTAGAATTTGTATGAACTAACTTATTTGTTTATTTTATCTTTATTAGACACCACCCTAATTGGGTTTATTTTATTGCAGCATTAGTTTAACTTTGTATCTAGACCTGAAGATGCTTTGCAAATTGTAGAAAGCGAAACCGGTCGTCAGATTGTTAAATTAAATTGATTGTGAGTAAGTCTTATTATTATTTATTTACCTAACTTTCGGAGTGTTTATGAGTTTATAACAATATTAATTCGTCATATTATTTCTAATTCGCAGGAATAATAACACCCTAGATCCAGCCAAGTACTGCCAAATTACTTGTCTTCCAACTCTGTAAAAATTGGTCACATCCTGTGTAGCCCAGAGGATCCACCAACACTTTGCTTTAAACAATATCATAGAGCCTCAACAGAATGATGCGCTAATGGTTTCATGGTCTGCAAAGAACAACTTATAATCGACTCATTGACTACAAGAAGGCCTTTGATTCAGTACCATATGAATGGCTTATAGATATATTGAAAGTATATAAAGTCGATGATAGTATAGTGACCTTTTTAAAGCATATAATGACGGAGTGGGCGATTAAAATTCACCTTCAAATACCCGGTGCAAACAACATCGAAACTGAAGATATCATAATTAACTAGGGTCTTTTAAAGGGGGAATCACTGAGTCCACTTTGGTTTTGTTTAGCGATGAACCCACTATTTTAGATACTGAACTCTACTAAGTCAGCATTTAGCATAAAAAATAACTGATGCGGCGAAGCCTAATCATCTGTTGTATATGGATGATTTGAAATTAATGGTTTCCACTCGAAACCACCTGGATCAGATACGAAAAACTGCATTCTAAATTATGTCAGGATGCACTTTGGACTAGGCAAATGCTGTATACTAAATATAATCAGTGGAAAGGTTCAGTTCGGAGGTTTCGATATGCAAGATGGCCAAACAATATACAATAGATTGCTAGAGAAATTTTGCTCATTGATTATCTTGAAAATGGTAAAACCATAACTGGCGAATACTACTCTTAATTTATTATGAAACTGGACGCAAGGGTTCTTGAAAATAAACCAACAGTATTAACCACCAAATTAAAAAACTGGATTAAGACGAAATTATGTTCTATGGTTACAATGTATGTGCCTACAAGAGTTTTATAAATTAAGAAATGGAGGGATCTATATTATCTATGCTACGAAAAACAGATTGGACTTCCATCTATTCTTATAACTGAAAACCCTCCTTGATGGTCAACGCTTTTGCCCATTCAAGAAGTCACTGTGGCTGTAGATGTATACCTAACAGTTCTTCCATAGGAATTCTATATTGAGCAGATAATGGCATTAGTTAAATGAAAGCATGCGGTTCCAAGTGACCGATAAATAATTTAAATGAAAGAAAAAAGTTCTTAAAATAACTTTTAGATGCGTATTGGGGAACACAGTATAAATCTCACCATATTGTAAGTTAGTTGTGGTGCTGCTCTCTGATAATTTGCTGATTGAGGTAGTGATAAAGATCTGGTCAAGAATTTTGAATTTCAGAGATAAAACCACCACAACATTTATCCTTATTAGTGATTCTACAGCCCTAATTCATCCTCAAACTTCAAATGTCTGTTTCACCTTTCATTTCAAACCATTGTCAATTTGCCACACTGATCTTCCTTACAATATCTTTGACACATTATGAGAAATCAGCACCGTTACTCCCTGCTGCAGACTATCCGAAACGGATAGGAACCAGAAGAAGAAGAAGATCTTCCTTACAGCCATTGATAATAGAGTTTGTCTGAGAGGATACTTTTCCTTTTATTACTATTCCTTATTTTTATGCAATATTGAACAACAGTGGGAACCAAAAGCTAAAGCTTAGTTACTGTATATTAACAATTTTACAGATTGAATTGGCGAAATCTTTACAAAATGACTTCTTCAAACCAACAAAGACAACACAAGAAAGTTTTTAAGACCAGCTAATACCATTCCCTAAACTGCGATTCTGTCTACATTGGACAAAAAACAAAACTTAGTGTTAATACTCGATTTATTGTACACAAAAGGAACTGTTGTGTATATCACTGCAAAAAATCAGCCATTGTAGAGTATAGAGTAGATCACACAAGACAACCACCAAATATTTGAATAAATGCAGGCGTTTGGTAGAACATTACCATACAGTTCTGTTCAGAGAAAATATTGAAATTCATAAACACCAACTGCAGATTCAGAGGCAGACAGCTGCTATAAATGATATACATATGCGAGGAAGATCATCAATGATTGATCAAAGATGTGTCTGAGACAGCAGGAAGACATAAATACCAAACCATGCCATATAATGCCCCATTACATAGCTAATTTTATAAGCTGTGTTAAATATAAAATTGTTAAAAATAAATTATTTTTCGATATTTTTTCAATTGGCAAAAAACTTAATCCATGAGATACATTGTAGAGAGCCAATTTTCATTAAAAATTTATTATTTATTTTATGAAAACATACCATTGCAAGTATTACGATCATATATCTTAATCTTGAACTGGAAAATCACTCAATGAAAATTGAATTACAATAAATATTTAAATGTGTTGGAAAAATTATATCAGACTTCAATCCATAAGCTCAAGAATTAAAAGTCACCACTGATAGTATATCTACTGACTTTTGTTTAAGATTTATTTTTATACTATTAATAGCCAATATCCTTAGTTCAGGATATTTAATTAATTATTAAAAACAGTTGTAAAAAGGATGATCTGTATATTCAAAAGATACAACATATCTTAACTTATACATATATTTAAATTTACTCTGATATTTACAAAAAAAGCCAACATAAATTAATTAGACAGATATTTTTTTCCATGTATCTGCACTTTCTTCTCAAATGCAGGTGATTTAATAGGTGTGTCTTCTTCATAAAATGGATTCATGGAATGTTTAATATATGCCTCATATATTTCAGAAAAGAAATTCTTAATGCCATCATCATTACGATTGTCATGTACAATAACGAATCTTATGAGACTAGCTGTCACAAAAGCTGAGACAAACCATTGGTTAAATTTATCTACAGATTTTAAATTCATTGCATGGGATTTCCATTGATGTTCATCAATTAAATCTAAAGCGGAATGTGCTATAAATTGATTCAGATGTCTGTGGTCTTCCTTCTACAATAAAAAAGCTAATTAAAGTTTGTTAGAGAACAATGTATACTTCAACAAGGAAAAGGGCTCTAAACATTTGCTTTTCACCTAATACTTTATAAAAATATTACCTTAGAATCTTTACTGTTTGTAAATTCCATTTCAAAAAGAGGTTTATCATTGTGACCTACAATCACAAAATAATAAGTACCGATCATTTTATTTTAATGTAATACCATTTATTTTTATTGACAAACTGCCTACATAAATATAACTTAAATTTCATAACCCCACTTTTAATTGTCAATGTCAATTAAATATTTTTGACCCTTCGGTTTTCATTGTCATTGATGACTATCGTTAAAATAGTATAGTTGTAAATTTAAAGACCCTAATACACAATGGTTGATGTTGGTCCACTACAGGCCATCGCCATTGTGTTCCACAGTATGTACTATGATTGTGTTCATGGTGCATCATGTCTGATTTAGGGCACACTCCAAAGTAATCATGGCCAGTAATATTCACATACATTTAATACCATATTTCTTAAATTTTTGATCGCCGAAATGTCACTCTCCTGGAGTAATGAAGAGACTTTCAAATTTATTGAATTGTATCAATCTCAGCCCTCAATTTGGGACCCACAACATGACAAACATAAAGATAAAAACAAGGTATGTTTACATTCTGTAGTAGGTATTTAGTGCTATTTTTGTATTTAAGTTATTGGGTTAAAATTTCCTTTTGATGTAACCGAGAGCTGCAGAGTCTGAATAGTGTCGAAATGTCGTACAGTGTTGCATGACTTTCAATAAATCACATAGAATAATTTTTTCCATTAGTATTAAAGGAGTCTATTAGTTATATTTTTTAATATACGGATTTTCGTTAGATATGACAATATGCCATAGATATGTCAATTTCCGCAATTTAAGAATTATCAGCCTTTCTTGTTTTGGGTATTAATTCAATTTTTGCATACTTCAATGAGGTAAAGTTATAATAGGTTTGGCAAATACGCATTTTAACTTTTTGGTTTTTGAAAAACACCGTTGCCACATGTGTTGTCCACATTTTCCCATTTTATAAGTGATTCACACGCAAACCTCCAGTAATGGGGTTCACCAGAAGAAGAAGTGATTGTTATATCCTTCCTACATTTGCGGTCGTTTAATTTGAAATTTATATATATTCTAGGTATTTAATCTCGACATTTCGAGAGGGGTTAGACAGGGCTGTATTCTTTCGCCACTGCTTTTCAACCTGTACACGGAACAAATATTTCTAGAGGCACTGGAAGAGTACAAGGAGGACATCAAGATTAATGGCATACCAATAAGTAATTTTCGATATGCAGATGATACTGCTATACTGGCCGATAACATCGAATATTTAGAGATGATTCTAAATAGAGTAAATACATCTGGCAACCGATTTGGACTGAAGATCAATAGAAACTAAAGACCGATGTCTAGTTAAGGATCCCGAAATGCCTAGCTCGCTTGTATTGGATTCAGAGTAAAAGGATTTGCATTCTTGCATTTCACGAGTTCATTTCCCCTCTTGGAAGTTATGCCCAAGGGTACGTCCATGAGGCCCTGCCTACCAATTAAAACCATCCCCATCCCGTGAACCTTATGGAATCGAACATATAGTGTTCCTTCATAGGCTCTGAAGGAGCCATGCCTCTTTAAAATCTTCGTCTTTACATACGTCTCTTTAAATACGTCTTGCGTAAAGATGTCGTTAGTTTCTCTAGGACCCTGTCCTACCCAGACTCTCACGTCCGGCATGAGTGTCCTTGTCCATTCAGCCCTATGTTAGATTTCCCATTGTACTTGCTATTTCGCGTTGGTCGCCCCTTTCTTATCTGATTTGTCGTTTTTACTTATACCATACGTGATTACTCTTTCCATCACTAGTAAGTGAATTGCTGGCACCCCTGCTATCACTTGTAAGGCATCTGTCGAAGTCGTCTTATATGTACAGACGAACCTTAACAGGACATTTCTCTAGAATTCTCCTGTATTTTGTTAACGCTTTACTTACTGTCATACTGGTGCTGTTGCGTACAGTGTGATGGAGTGGATCAATTCCATAAGAATTCTTCTTTTACCTGTCACTGGATATCTTTGTTAGCCCTGCTGTTCTTTGATTGGCTTTTTTTGCCGTGTATATATATTACGTGTTCACCGAAGCTCTGTTTGGTGTCCAGTATTACGCCTAGATATTGGACCTTCTTGACGTTCTTGAGTCCTTGGTGATTATTGCCTCCGTCTTTTGTATGACTAGCGTCAGTTCTCTCTCCTCTATCCACAACCTAACTAGTTCAAAGGTTGTGTTTGCCCTATTCATTATGAGCCAATTCTCGAAGTGCTCCACTGGTATAACCATGTCGTCTGCATATGCAATTGCCTGTATTCCCTCTCCTAGGTTTATCTTCAGTATTTCGTGCTATAGTATATGATACTATGATTAAAAAGACAAGGTATTGCGCGTACTGAAAAGCGGAGAGATTGAATACGTAGCTGTAGAGAAGCAAGTTCGTGATGTCCGTTTAGTTTGAATGGTTCGCGGTTGTTAGCTAAGTTTATTATATATTTTATCTGTGTAAAAGTGAGATCTGCCTTAATAAAAAGTGAAAAAATGAGGAGTCTGTTTTCAATTGTCATAACGATAATCAAATTAAAGGTTTTGTTGGTGAAATTAGATTTTTCGGCTTCCCAAAGATAATGTTTTATCTAAGAAATGGGTACATTTTTGCCACAATGTGTTGATTGAAGTTTTTCGAGAGCATGCACAATTTCTGAATAAATTTCCTTGAATCTTATAACGGCTTCATGTTTGTGAATTCACTGTATTTCCGGGTGATCAGCAGGTAACAGATCCCAATTTTTTTTTCTATCAGAACTGTAGTGTGTTGAGTTGAATGTCTTAAGTAGGAACCAACAGACTGCACGATCCCAACGCAATGTCGCACATCTCACATACCGAGTCAGAGGACATTATTTACGAATATACACTTTGAAAACATCTCCTTAACTTTGTTATTTAATTTTTTTTAAATCAATATATCGCACGCACAGCAAGCACTTGCTTCATGAGCGCAATGTCAGTCGTCTCGTCAGCGAGAATCCTATAAAAAATTTAGTATCCTGTACTTCACCGATGATCTTATGTTGAATAATTTCACATCAAATATCAATTATTTTATTTGGGATTTGTGAGCTCGTGTAAAGGGCATTATTCTGAGAAGTGACCAAATACTCGAAAAGATTTTTTTCCACAAATTCAGCTTCGTACCGCAACAGTGCTAGAAAATTACCATAATTCGGAAGCGGTTGTTCAGACTCGGGTGTAATGTGGATACGTCCCGAATCAGTTTTACCTCTTTCTGTCGCAAAAAATTTTTGTTTTACTTTAGAGATTAGTTTCTTGCGGTTACTATCTTTCACAAGACAACAGCTCATCGACTGGAAAAGCCTGCGAATACATTACTTTTAGGGAGTTACTTCGAGTTTCGAATAATTCTAGTGAATCTTTCTACTTGAAAAAAAGGGTCTGTAATAAGCTGGTCAACCCGCTAATTGGCTCTTTTACCGTCATTAAGCAAACGTCTGATTATGCTTTACTTTTATATTTAGAATATGACAATCAGGGGAATCTACTTTTCCATCCATTTTATTTGAAAGACTGTTTTAAAATTTGGGCCTTTAGATATTCATCCTCGATTTTATCTTGATGTGCATAAAAGCCAACATCTAATTTAGCAGAATCAAAAGCTGAATAGCATATGTAACGGTTAGTAATAAACGAAACAGACAAACGTCTATCCCAGAAACTTATATGACTGTTTAGAACATTGATAATCTTTCTCACGTATGGATCAGAGGTATGGACCCTAACCAAAACAGAAGAACACTCTCTATTGATTTTTTAAAGAAAGGTACTATGCAAAATATTTGGAGCGGTCTGTGAAAACGGAACATGGAGGCATAGATAAAACTGCATAATATCTATAAGCATTAGTTGGGTGAAAAACATATTACCACAATAGTCAAGAAAACCGTCTGCAGTGCGCAGGACATGTAGCAGTGCAGCTTTTGAAAATAAAAAGACCATGCAGACCACAGCTGAAGTGGATAGACGGGGTATTACAGCATGCTGAGAAAATCGGTGTTGCCAACTGGAAAATCTAAGGAAAATACAGAGCAGAATGGCGCAAAAAGCTTGAGAAGGTCGAGGCCCTTTAAGGACTGTAGTACCGTGATGATGATGATAATGAAATGAGATATGCTGCACGTCTATCTTGATTTTAATTTTATGAACCTTGTGGGTTCGGTCTATGAACTATAAACCGAGGCCTGTGGCACTCCCGCAGATATCCTTCTTGTGTAATATTTAGTTATATTAATGCTTCTGTCTGTGAAATAATTCCTCACCAAGTTCTGCCGGTATGAGGATATTTCCATTTTTTTCCAATAATCTGATGGTTTTCTCCCAGCTCGCGTTGTTAAATGAGTTCTTGATGTCTAGTGCCACCATCCACTTACCCCTGCATGCTTCTTTCTCCCTGATCATCCTGTTTATGGCGTCCATGGCAGCTCTGCCTTTTCTTAACCCGTACTACCGGTCCAACATGCCTCCCTTTTCTTCTATTTCTTTTTCAAGCCTTGACTATGAGGATTTCGAATAGCTTGTTCAGTGTATTTAGCAAGCATATTGACCTGAAAGCACCCAGTTCTTCCATTTATTTCCCAAGTTTAGAGATGATAATGAGATTTTCCGCTTTCCATACCGTGGGGAATTTATGTCTTCCATAGGTCATCCATTATGTTTTTCATCAATTTAGCCTTTTCCTCAATAATGGTCTTTACTATTATTTAATAAATAGTAGAATATGTTGTATATTTAAGTACAACATTAATCTGACATTGCAATATTTTTCAGGTCATGGATGCATGGAATCACATAGCAGACACCATTCAAATTCCTGTTTCTGAACTTAAAAAAAAGAAAGAATCATTAATGGCAGCATTTCGGATGAATTTCAAAAGAAAACAGGATTCGATTCGATCTCGTATGCGAGGAGAAGAAATTTACAAGCCCATTTGGATATTCTATGATGCTATGGAGGTATTTTTAGGAGGCGTATATAAAGGCAAACCCATTATAGAAGGAGAAAGTGTAAGTAAAATAAATAAATAATTTACAAGTTGTTTAGTTAGCAAATATTACTTGTTTAATATGATAGATGAGTTTTAAAAGCAAAAGCTCTGTCACCCAGAAAAGATCAGGCATATTATTAGTATTAACTTCTAGGAAGAGGACAACTAGAGGGAAATTAAAGCTCCCATCACAACTTTATTCCATATATTCCTATAATTTATACCGCCGTCAGCAAATATAAAACAGTAATCATTATAACTCCAAAAGAATAACGCTAAAACTTCCTTTATAATTAAAGTATTCCAATTCGTTATGGGCTGGTGTTAGTTTGGTAATACGCTTTCTGCCTACCGCGCCAAGGCAATGGGGAAAATGTTCAGAATTTGTTTGAATAAAAAAATTATTTTATGAATTTTTTTCTAGATCTCATTAAGTCATGGACAAAAGACAGCTGCTAGCGGAGAAATGAAAGAACAAGAAATAGGAATTTCAAATGGTGCTAAAACCAATATAGAAACAAAGAATACGAAAGTCCCGATTCCTGTACAGAGGAGACGCGAGGTCAGGCTGCCTGATTTAGAGAAAGCAGAAAAGGAGATGGCAAACGCTTTTAATACATTGAACCAGGTTATGCTCAATAAAGAACAAAAAATAGAAGACGACTGCGACTTATATGGAAGGCTATTTGCTAACAAACTCAGAAAATATTCAGAGATTGAGAGGCAAGAAATCATGTACGAGATAGATGGATTATTACTGAGACGGCTTCATAACTATAGTTCTAATTCCGTGTCTTCGCAAATTATTGTCGATAAACCTCATGCATCTTCTTCAACAGCCAGTTATGTTTGTCCATCACCATCTTCTCCTTATTTGATCAACCGGCCCTTGTCGTCAAACTCTTCACATAATTCTGAAGATAATAAATCAATGTTATTTGAAAATGGAATCCTACCTAAGTTAGAGCTCGTTGAGAACTCTAATGAAGCAACTAATAATGAAGATTCAAATGAAGACACAAGTGAAACACATAATGTAACAACTACAGTAACAGAACTAGATGAACCAGACACACATCAGAAAGAAAACCAATCAGTAGATCAAGATATTCTTAATAAAGTCCACGATCGTATTAAGATTACAAGATTGAGGTGTGAAACATGTAATTTAAGTTTTTCAGGTAATTTATTTATTTTTATTTTGTTACTTTTTCAAGCTATCATTTTGGAACAGATTTACATTATTATCATTATTATTTATTTTTAACAGTCATCTCCATGCAACTTAATAATGTTGCATTTATATCAAGTACCAACATGTTGCATCTACACCTCTGCATTTTTGCTTTGCCCATTTTATATAGATGGCATCCTTTTTTTTTGATCTTTTAGTGATTGAGTAATCTCCTAGGTAGGTTAAGTTTTTTTCGCCTTTTATGAGGGGGTTGGTCAAAATGTTCGAAACATTTTTCCCTAGGCCTCGGTCCTAGAAGGTGGGCTGAACCGCTTTCTAGCCTCAGATATGCAGGATTTATTCAGCGTAGCCACGATGATATCCAAGACCGCACGCAGGGTTGTTCGGATATTATCGTTGTCAATGCCAGAGACCTACGTACTACAAAACACCCTCCTCAACCATGAATTACTGGCCGGACCGCCCTGATTTAGACGCAATATCGGCACGGCATTCACCCGATCTCTCATTCACGCATAAGTTTCACGCAATATCGCACTTTTTCACTACGACTGAATTCTTTTCTCCCTCTGTTCATGTTCAATCTCGCCCCTTCTCGTTCTGCCTTATCTTCTTGCTTACTTCTGGGCACCATGTCTCTCTTCGGTTCGCCTTTCTTGTTTGTCTTTCTCTCCAATGTTCTCTTCACATATCTCTGAACTGCTCTCCACCGATCTGATGACCTAAGCAGCTCCTCCAACAGTTCCGTGACTGTTTTTGCACCTTACTTCGTAGCTCTCTATCAAGCAGGCTCTTCTCGGCTATCCATCTATCACATACCAATACAGTGTGTGAGACAGTGTCCGATATTTCATTCATTTTCTGCCTTTCCAAAGCTGTAAAGGTATGATCCTTGGTCCCTTGAGAACTATAGCCTCGGTCTTACCCGCAGCCAGATCTAGAGGCCATGCATTTTCATTTATTCCTTGACTTATTCGTATGTACTGAATACGAATAAGGTCTGTGAGCTTATGAACTGATGTGTGAGGTCGTCCTCAAATGCGAAAGTGGTGACACCCTGTCCGTATTGTTGACTCACAACCCCGTCCTAGAACCGACCCCTGCGGCACTCCAGTCGCGACATCAACCACCACACCTTTTTCTACCACAATGTTCCTCTCTGATAGATAGTCCGAGACCAAATTCATCAAATTCCTCGGACACCTTCTCTCTCATAAACCCTTCATTATCTCTTTCCATTTTAATATGTTGAAAGCATTCCAGACGTCAAACAACAGTAGGATCGTCCGCCTCTGGTTAACCCCCACCCCACGAAACTCTCTCTTCCATCATCCATGTTGCTGTTCTTTCTGAAACCGTACTGCCTGGGTGACAGCCCGCTTGACTCTTCAATGACTGTGTCGATTCGCTCCCTTAGAAGGTTCTCGTATAATTTACCTATGTACGACAGAAGGCAAACATGTCGATACTTGTCTTCCCCTTTTGGAAGTAGCACGAGCTCGAGATCTTCCAATTTGCCGAAAATCGTTGAGTTTCAATCAGTGCATTCATGTGTTCCAAAAAGCCAGCTTTTATTTCGTTCATCTTCGGCGTCCCACGGCACTTTCTGAAAGTCCCAATTTCTGAAATCGTTCTCAAAATACAAACAATAATAAATTGAACAAATTTTATTTTTTTTTACTTGGTGAAAAATTCTTTTAATAATTTAATTTTATCTGACTCATTTATATTGACAATTCGTGACAATTACATGACATGACATGTATCTAATTTGTGCTTTTATAGTGGAAAGTCAGATAAAATGGTCCTCCTGGATCAAATGGTCCCCTAACATATTTCTTACAATTTTCATAGAACCTCCGTTTAGCTTTCTTTATTATATTCAGGACTGCTAACACCACCTATGTATAAATCTGTGAATATGTGCGATAAGACAGGCTAGTTAAGCTGTAACGTGTTAAGCTATAGTTTATTTAGAATTATCTGTCATAAGTATCGTCATATATTCAATTAATGGATACATCATTAATTCTGCGACGTACAAAGATTATTGTTTTGCTATTATCTATGGTTTTTTTTTGTTTTTTAGATAAAAATTCGTTCACTGTGCACAACCGAAAACACGAAAAAACCAAGTGTGATATTTGCGGCCGTTTAGTAAGATCAGACAACATGAAGAGACACATCAGATTGCATACAGCAGGTCCATCGGTTTGTTCTATTTGTGGGGCCACGTTTAAAAATTTTGACTGTTTAAGATGTCACGTCTTTCATTACCACAAGCATACTGCTCAACAGTACATTTGTGAAGAATGTGGTAGAGGCTTTCGAATGAAACATAGTTTCTTGTTGCATAAGAAAAAGGTTCATGTGGGGATAAAGAACTTTAAATGCAGTACTTGTGGAAAAGCTTTCTTTACCAATACCACTCTATTAAAACATGTCCGAATGACTCACGAAAAACTGAGACCTCATGTTTGTGGATATTGTGGTGTTGGGTTTTCATCTACGTATGCTTTAAAAACTCATAAAAGACAACATACTAATGAGAAACCGTTCACCTGTTACTATTGTTCAGAAGGGTTTAAACAACGAGTTTCACTACGATCTCATTTGAAATCGAAACACGGGATAGAGGAAGCTAAGGAATTCTTTTGTAAAACTTGCGAGAAAGGTTTCGCTACAAATTACGCTTTAAGTATACATGAAAGACTACACGAAACTCAGAAGTGTGAAATTTGCTCAGAAAATTTTGCTGAGGGTGAATATCTGACAAATCATCTTAGAGAAGTTCATCAATTAGAAGTAGAAATTAAACAAGATAGTTAAAATTATTTTTGGTTTATTTTTTTTCCAGTAAATATTCTGCCTTGAATTTTCTATTTCCTTGCTTTTCAGCCTTCTTTTATTAAAAAAAGAAGATAATTATGAATAATCGGAGTGTATATTCATAAATTTTCAGTAAAAACTATCGATTTGTAAATACTAACCTATAAACGACTATAAAATTCTAAAAATTAACATTTAAACTTTTTTTTTTAATTCATACAGTTTTATTTGGTTAATAAACTGCATGTGAATAATTTTTTGTTTTTTAGTTACAATTCATATTGGCTATAAGCTTATATAGTCATTTTCAGCCAGTCAAAATTTCACCAACGTGGCAAAAACTAATTACTAAATTTACTAGACAGTTGGGACTGGGATCAGAAAATTGGGTATAATTTTTAACTAAGAATGAAAAGCATTGAAAAAAATTATTTCGTTAATATGCCCATCTCGTCAACGTTATATATTCGATCTACAGGAAATTCAAATTTACCTGATATTGAAGCAATATTCGAATAAAATCTTGGTTCCTCTTTAAGAAAAAAGTTACCCAGACTTTCCAGCAAGTTCAGTCTACAAAAATTGTACCTGATTTCATTTGTATGTGTATATTTATACACCAATTGCCTCAGCTCTCTAATAGTGATACCATACAGACACATTTTAGCTTGTTCCAAGATATATTTAGTTAATTCTTTTTCCTGTTCTTCAATAAAGATGTGCTTTCGACCGAGTTTAGACAATGATCTCTGATTCATTCTTATTTTGTAACGAAGCATATTTTCTGCCTGAGCTAATAGCAACTAGAGCTGTTTGAAAGACCCTCATTTTATGCGCAATATTACCCCATAGGACAGTAACTACTTAAAGGTTATAAAAATATTTGAAAGACTATTCTAATCAACATAAAATTAAGCAAATTCTCAGTAGGAATCATGTTTTTATTTGATAACATAAAAACAATAGTACAAGAAAGATTAACGCTTACCTTGTTACACTTTGCACGGCTATTTCTTATACGAATCTATGTATTATCATTGAAATCTCAATGATAACTGAACTTCGTAATCACGTGCAGCAATATTTCTCCCCGTCAATTGATATGCTTTGTTGGACATTTGGACGTGCGCACATGACACCAGCTAAGACCGGTATATTTAAATCGACTCTGCGTATAATTACCCGCTGCGTAAAATTCCCCTACCCTACCTTATCTCTAGTAAACAAATCTATACATTTTCTGCAGAAAATTCGAAAAATGCGATTTTTTTCGAATTTTGGCTTACCGTTAAAGAGTACATTTAGGAGTATTATTAATATTAAAGAGTATATACTAAAGATATTACTCAGAATTCCATGGGTTCACCAATATTGGTAACAATTGAAAATTTAGTCATGGAACTATTGAAAGCATCAGTCATAATAACTATGATCTACAACTTACCACTCTACAAAGGTATGCCCATGACTGATTTTGAACAAAAAAATTTTGTTCAAAATTAAAATATATTGTGATTATCAGTAAAGACATTCAATCAGATGTTTATAACGTAAATTGTAAAGCCTAGTGTAATATATATTGGACATACGCATTAGTATTTACAGAGACGAATTATTACACATAAAAACAGTGTAAGAAATAATAAACCAAAGATTATTAAACAAAAACCAAACAAATATTCCCAGCGTCGCTCTGAATGCTTGATTAAGCTTGGGTATACAGTTTACTTATCGCTATTGACATTCACTTCATTTTCGGTTGAGTTTACCCAAGGTACAAGCTGAATATAGCCACATCGGGTATTTTAAAAAAACAATTTAAATTTATATTAAACACGAACGAATTAATATTTGTTTCTTTTGATATTAGTTGCAGTTAGTTATTAGAAAAAAATTTTTATAATTGACCTTTGGTAGATTAGCAAATAAACTTGGCAATATTGTCAAAATTCTGAAAACACTAGTTGCCAGATTGCAACAGATGTTCAGCAGATTTCAATTATGCCTATTTTCTTATAATTTTGGGATGAAAATGGTACCTGAATACCTTAACAACTTAAGAATTTAAAAGTTTAAAAAGTTAAATTAAATTTAAATTAATTAAACTTCTCTTAAAAACTTAAAAATAATTAATATTATATTGCATACTCTTTCGTGATTTATTTGTGATATGGCAACACTGGCAAATAAAAATCTGTCTTCTGTCATTTGTAGCTAACTTCATCGGTACTCTTTTGCCGTTTCGTTTATTTTTATTTCCATAACCTACAAAATTTAGTTTTGAAAACTGAAATGTAAACAAAAATATTTAACATAAGCACAATGATTACAGCCGTAGCGCTATATCAATGCAGATTATGTTTAAATAAAACTCCACATAGAGTTAACATATTTGGTGGAGATTTTCCCTGGATGTTAGACTTATTAGCATCCATAAGGGTAATTTTTTTGAAAAAATTATAATTTTATTCTTTATTGAATGACCAAATGTTAAAATTCGTACTGCTGTGTAGTATTATATTTTAATATTTCTGTGTTGAATTGTTTCCTCATTTCTTTTTTTATTGTCTTTCATTATATTAGCATTCCTTTAATAAAATAAAGTATGTGCCTTCTAGTGGCGGGATACAAAAGTGCATAAAACAATGGAAAGTCTCAAATACCAGAATCTATAAATAAAACCGAAATGGAATTCTGTGAGATCACTTTTAACAGTGATTACAAATTACTAAGTCATTGTCTAATGCCTACTGATAATTGGACGATTTCACATAATTCTGCAGCATCTGTAAATTTGCATTTTTAATAAACTTTGAAGTGTTTTATCAGGTATTTTCTATATATGGTATTTTATGTTAAAGGTACATGAAGAGGATGGTTTACCAAAATATAGTTGTACAAAATGCGCAAAAGAAGTTCAGATGGCTTTGATGGTTAAGAAACGTATTATAAAAGCACATCAATTTCTATTAGAAGCTCTAAAAAAGAATAGGGATGTATTTCAAAGAACAGTGATACCTCCTATTGTTAATAAAGTCGAATATTTGGTACCAAACAAGACAAAAACCACTAAACAAAAGGAAATTTCCAAAGAATCTAAACCGATAATAAAACAAAATCAAACCCAATCAGAGTCCAAGTTAGTTCAGAGCTCAAATGAAGCAACAGCTAATGAAGATGCAAATAAAGAAAGTGTAAAACATGATATAAGTACTGGAGTAACAGAAAAAACAAATGCCAAACAAAAGACAAAAACTGCTAGACAAAAGGCAGTTTCTAAAAAGTCCAATAGACCAATATCAAAACAAAATAAGCGATCATTAGATCAAGATCTTGATAATACTGACTTTACTTGTGAAACATGTAATTTAACCTTTCCAGGTAATCAGTTATTTTTATTTCTTAATTTTTTAAGAGCTCTAATTTTAAAATAGATATTATCTTTTTGGTATCTTTAGGTGTTTCACAATTAGGATTCAAGTTTCTATTTAAAAAAACACTCTTCAGCACTTCATAATTTGGTTTTCATGTCCAATGTCAAATGTTATAATCATGACAACTTATTACTAGTCTACTTATATCGTTATTTATTTTTATTCTCATTAATACTCTTTTAACTCATTTTATAGTCTAGTCCAGGCAGGATCTATCGAAAAGCAGACCATAGGTTCGAATATTCCTGATGCAGGATATTTTCGCCACCTCGTAGTTCCATCTTTACTGATAAGACAGGGTATTCTTGCAGCTTGTTCGACTAATATTTCTTCAAGAATAGATGAGATTTGTTCATTTTTAGACTCCTCTTCTGAGTCTATATCCTCAATAGTTTCTATAATATGGTCATCTATCAAACTCCCATCATCATCTGGTTCTGCCTCTGAATCAGTTAAAACTTTCTCATGAAGCGGCAATAGTCACTATTGTTCCCTCTCGTAATTCATTGTAAACGTGTGCCCTACAATATAATATAAATCAGTACTGCAAACAAAAAATCAAACAAATTATTCTCACTCCAAAATGCCACGGCAACTATAACGTCGGTTTGTGTGACCAAATCATATAATATTCAAAATTTCTGTTAACATATCGCATGCTTAAAGCTTAACGATATGCTAGTGATATGTGCTGAGAGTATTTTTTTTGTAAATCGTTATAACTGTGATTGGTTTTTTGTTGACAGAATGCATTTATACAGTTTTTGCTAAATTTTGTCTTTTTTAACTCGTGACGCTCATAGGCGTCGTCAGCACTAGATCATTAATGTTTCATTCACATGCTAAGAGACTGACAAGTGCGTCTTTAATTTTTAAATAGCAGAAAGTCATTATTGTCAAAAGAAACATTTACTGGAAATATGAATAATTACAAATTATTATAATTATTGTTTGTTGTTTTTTGTATACTGGAGTAACCAATACTGTTTCAGATTTTTTTAAAAGATGTCTGATAATTTTTAAATGACATTAATTTTTCTACCAGTGTATGGAGTATAACTTTTGTATAAATAATAGGAATTTAATAATAAAACTTGAAATATGTGAATAGAGTGTCTTTCGCTCACATGGATAGTAAGTGAGCATTTGATCTTTATGATCAATACCCCTCATAAACTCATTATATTTGGATATAGGATAGAAGCCTTCATATCAATGCTTAGTTCACTTGAAATTTCTACTGCTTTTCTTTGAATTCTTTAACCAGAAACAATATTATTTTTTAATCCCAATTTACGAAAAAAATCGAAAATAATTTTTAATACAGCACCCGAGAAGATATTACCGAAACACAAGTGAAATTGAAGAAGGTAATGGAAACATTCTAAAAGGAGAAAAATAGATAGTAAGGACATAGACAGAGTATTTCTCATTATGTATATAAAAATACAGTGGCCGGTCTGGCAGGATCAACCTGTCACTTATGGAACAGCTTCATATAAACGATAGGCTAATAAAAAAAGTAAACCGAGAATACCTAAATTACTTTAGCCATAAGATGGGAACTATGGAACTATTGGTTGTAGAAGGAAAGGTAGAAAATATTTTTGAGAATCGCTTGATAAATAGATTAACAGATAGTTTCCTCTACAAACTCATTCAAAAAGTAAACTTTTATACACAAGGGTATTTATCTAGATAATACAAAACATAAATATCTTAAAAACTCACATGTGCGTCATCAGCATATGACTGAAGCGATATCTTGACGCTCATAGGCGTGATTAGCATGCAAAGTGTTAATGATACACACTGTCCACTTACTAAACTACGAATGAACTAGACACAGGCACGTTCGAAAGGTACTGTGAAGTGCAGATTGAAATAAAAATTAGCGGGGCTTAAATCATAAAAGTTTCGATCAGTCGGTGCGAGAATCATATCGTTATCAGCCGAATGTTATACACATTTTAACAATTTTTTAAATATTTTGAAAACAAATTGAAACGTCAAATTTCAATGATAAGTACAATTATTTGCGGCTTAATCCGATATAAACACAATATTTAACTTAATATACATAACTTCACAAGTTATGTTTTCAATTTCTCATAATTAGAATTTCGAAACAGTGGTAACGTATTAGGTTGTATATTTCTAATAGCTGGTGGTTTATTTTGAATTATGTATCTTAATTATAACATATATCGCCGCATTACTGGATGTATCATTAATTCTAAGACGTACAAAGATAATTGTTTTGCTATTTTTTGTTTTTTAGATAAACGTACGTTCACTAAGCACCACAAAAAACACGAAAAACGCCAATGTCATATTTGCCAGCGAGTCCTTAGATCAGACAACATGAGGAAACACATCAGGATGCATGAATCAGGTCCATCAAGTTGTTCTATTTGTGGAGCCACGTTCAAAAATTTTAGCGGTGTAAGAACTCACATCTTTCGTTACCACGAACAAACTGCTCAACAGTACATTTGTGAAGAATGTGGTAAAGGCTTTCGAATAAAATATAAGTTTTTGTTGCATAAGAAATCGGCACATTTGGGTCTAAGAAACTTTAAATGTACTAAATGTGGAAAAGCTTTCTTTACCAACTGGCATTTAATCGCACATGTCCGAATGACTCACGAAAAACTGAGAAATCATGTTTGTGAATATTGTGGTACTGGCTTTTCATCTAGATATGCTTTAAAAACTCATGAAAGGCAACATACTAATGAGAAACCTTTCGTCTGTCAAATTTGTTCAGAAGGTTTCAGACAACGAGTTTCATTAAAATCTCATTTGAAATCGAAACATGGGACAGAGGAAGCCAAGGAATACTTTTGTAAAATTTGCGAGAAAGGTTTTGCTACAAATTACGCTTTGAATATACATGAAAGGTTACACAAAACTAAAAAGTGTGAAATTTGTTCGGAAAATTTTTCTGTAGGTGAATTTCTGACAAACCATCTTAGAGAAGTTCATCACGTAGAAGTAGAAATGAAAGAAGAAAGTTAAAATTATTTTTGGTTTGATATGTGTCCAGTATCTCTTGAATTTTTCATTTTCTTGTATTATTCGTATGATGTTCCTCTACGAAGTTGACATAAGCCATGAAATATTTACAATAAATATGCTTGAATATAGATTGTTTGCTCAGCTTGGGACTATTTTGACAGATTTATTGTTTGAGACATAACAAATCAAACAAAAAGGTCTTTTCGAAGAGCTGGAACAAGCCTACAGAATATGCCTCAGAAATGACATCAAGATAGTGCTAGGTGACATGAATGCTAGAATAGGTCGAGAGCGAGTTTTTATGCCAACTATAGGAAGGCATAGCCTACACAACATCAGTAGCGATAATGGATTACGACTGATAAACTTAGCAGCAGCACTGAACATGACCGTCGCTAGCACTTATTTTGAACACAAGAATATACACAAGGTAACATGGACCTCCCCTGATGGAAGAACAACTAGTCATATTGATCACATCTTAATAGATTCAAGACACGGAACGGACATAAAGAACTGCAGAAGTTATAGAGGCGCAAACATAGACTCAGACCATTATTTAGTGATTTCAACACTAAGGGCTAGAATTTCAAATTCAACAAAGAAAACAAAATAGATAGAAATAGAATGTACAGAAACTGGGAGATGCAACTGTTGCAAAACAGTACTGGGAAAATATTACCAATAGGTTAAGGAATCAAAGTCTAAGCGAAGAAGACCAGAGAGATATAGCCTCCTACTGGAACAGGATAAAGGAAGATATTGAGTCAGCAGCACAAGATGAAATAGGAACAGAAACTTGTACCCGAAAAAATCACTGGTTTGACTATGAAGGCAAAGACGCAACGCAGAAAAAAAATGAAGCCTATGCAAAAATGCTTACCCGCCGAACTAAAACAAGTATAGAGAATTACCAGACAAAGAGAAGAGAAGAAAAGAAAATACACAGAATGAAGAAACGGAACCACTTAAAAAACTTCAATATATAGAAAACCTCAACAGAGAGAAAGAATTCAGAACATTCTATAAGAAAGTTAACATCAACAGAAAAGAATTCAAGGCAAACACAAATCAATGTAAAAGTTTGAATGGCAATATATTAACAAGAACAGACGTACTAAACCGATGGACGGAATATTTTAACTAGATACTTAATATAGAGGAAGAAGACGAAAGCTGTGAGGTAAACGGAGCAGACGAGAGGGAGGAGGATCCACAAACGATCCTGGAAGTTAAAGACGCTGTAAACAAACTAGCCAGAAACAAATCACCCGGAATAGATAATCTCCCACCGGAAATATATAAAGAAGTCCCTTCCTAGTGATTGGAATATTGGAATACTTTGCACCATACACAAAAAGGGCGATATCGTTGAATGCTCTAACCATCGAGGAATTACGCTCATACGATAGAAAACGACGTCATCGATACTGAACGCTCGTCAATACTGAAAATGACATTACCACAGAGATAAACCGCAGAATTTGCACGGCTAATAAATGCTATTTTGGGCTTAATTTTTTTTTAAAATCTACAGTTATATCAAGAAATACAAAAGTAAAACTCTACAAAACAATAATACGCCCAGTCCTAACATATGATTCAGAAACCTGGACTTTAACAAAAAGCAATGAAAACATGTTAGGATGTTTCGAAAGAAAAATACTAAGGCGAATCTATGGAGCGGTAAATGACCATGGTGTCTGGAGAAAACGATACAACTTCGAACTCTATAGAATATACCAGGAACCAGATATCGTAAAACACATTAAGATATGACGTCTGAGGTGGATAGGTCATGTAATGCGGATGGAGCAAACCGATCCAGCTAGAAAAACGCTATTTGATAGACCTATTGGTCAAAGAAGAAGAGGAATACCCAGAACAAGATTCCTAGATAACATAGATCAAGATATGAGAAATATGGAAATACGTGCCTGGCGGAGAAAGGCGATGGATAGGAACGACTAGAAAAAAATTCTTGGGGAGGATAGGACCCACACAGGGTTGTAAAGCCAAAATGACATAGAACAAAAAACTCTTACCTCTCACTATTAATAACCCAAATAAATTTAGTCCTTTTTTATCGTAAAAAGAAGAATAATCACGAATAATGGGAGTATATATTCATCAATTTTTATTAAAAACTTTCCATTTGTAAATACTAACCTTTAAACGACTATAAAATTTTAAAAATAAAAATAAACATTTAAACTGTTGTTTTAATTGATGCCGTTTTATTTTGTTAGTAAACCGCATGTGAATAATTGTTTGTTTACATTAATATTGGCTATAAAACACGTGTGCTTGGTTGTATAGTCATTTTCATCATCATCTTGGTGCTACAGCCCTTAGAGGGCCTCGACCTTCTCAAGCTTTCTACGCCATTCTGGTCTGTCCCTTGCTTGCATTTCCAGTTGCCGACTGCGATCTTCTCCGCATCTTGTGTTACCCCATCCATCCACCTCAGCTTTGGTCTACCCCGTCTTCTCATTCCCACGGGTTGCGCTGTTAGAATCTTTTTTATCATGTTCTATTCAGGGGCCCGGGCTACATGTCCTGCCCACTGCAGACGGTTTCGCTTAATTAAAGTGGTAATATCTTTACCACCAAACGTATGCTTGTAGATATTCTGCAGTTTAAAGTTATATCTACGCCTCCATATTCCGTTCTCACTGACCGCTCCGAATATCTTGCGTAGCACCTTTCTTTCAAAAACGGATAGAGAGGATTCATTCGTTAGCGTCCATGCCTCTGATCCATATGTGAGAACGGGGACTATCAGTGTTCTATACAGCCTTATACGAGTTTTTTGAGACAGACGTTTGTTAGCTAAGTACTTTGATAGACCATGATAACACCTGTTTGCAATTATTATTCGCCTTTTTATTTCCTCAGATGTGTTATTATTGGGGTTAACCGATGTCCCTAGATATATGAACTCTTTGACTGCTTCGAAGTTTTGGTCATTGATAATTAAATTTATGTCAACATTTCCAGCTCTTGTGTTTGTGTTAGTCACCATGAATTTGGTTTTATTTTGATTTATATGTAACCCCATTGATTCTGCTGCTGCTACTAGCTCGGTTAGGATTTCCGCAGTTCTCGCCCTAGTTCTTGTTATAATGTCCACGTCGTCTGCATATGCTACAATTTGGACTGATCTATTAAATATTGTTCCCCTGCTATCTAAATTAGCGTTTCGTCATTTCTCGTCAAATTGTCATTTTCATCTGCTCAAAACTTTCACCTACGTCAGAGCTCGCATCTTAGGAAGTGTACACACATTTTCCCCTTAAATCAGCCGTAAAACGTCCTGAACAGAAAAGACATTCTGCATAATCTTCTGGGTTACTGTCCATATTCGGGGATTCTTCCTCATTAGTCGAGTCATATAGGGGTGGGATACTTTCACTTAAATCATCTGAAAACGTGTTGTCTTTTACCAGTTTCTTTCTCGCTTTTTTTTTCAACTTGATTTTGCTGCCACAATATCAAAACGATTGACTCTTCTAGTTCATTTTTGTTTGGGGTTGTTATAAAATTTTTGGATGTTCCCGATTTTCGGCCTCTTGTGCCTTGTCATTTTTTAAGAACAGCAATGAGAAGTATGTGTTGTGGTAAAACTGGTTGTCTATTTGCCCCTTCATCAGTATCTTCCTGGTCTCGAGACAGGTTTATCTGTCTTTCATGTGCAACGAGTGCATCATTCTTGTGTGCTTCCATTAGAAAATCCTCTTCGGAAAAAATGTCTGTTTACTAGTAAGATACCCGTTTGTCGAAATCCATTAACTGCCCGTTCGCCAGTTTGGATCCTCAAGTAAGCTTTACCAAGCAAGTCAGATGTCAAAATGAGATATTGGGCGATTATATTGCCGAGCGGTTGCATCTTGTGTGTAGTGTGAGGCGGTAAGCACAATAAAATTAACGTGGTTTTCACTAGCAGTGATAATAACATCTAGGTTTCTCTGCAAGCGATCCCCGTCCAAAATAAAAAGTATTGAGATTTCCGGCACTTTGTTTTACATATTCGATGAAGTGATTAAACCATTGCGTGAAAATGTCGGTTTTAGTCCACCCTGATGCATGGAAGGCAAAAATACTTCCAGGTAGAGCTCCCTTCTTTAACAATTTGCTGACATTCTTGCGAGGGAATATAAGCATGGGAAAAATCCTCAGGACACTTTGATTGAACTATAAAGACCACTTTCGTCGACGTTAAATATTTGATTAGCTGAAAAGTTTTTACTTCTATTCCTTTCTCTAACAAATCAAAAAACTCGTGCCCGACAAAAATTGTTTATTAAAGAGCCAAAAAGGATTTTACAAACGAATATAGTCGTCCGAAGCGTCCAAGTTTGCCGTTAAATTAGTTAAGGGGGTTGATATGGTTGGTTACCATTCGTCCTCCAAAGTGGTTCAGACGGAGGAAAGTTAAGTTATAGGTACTATGGAGGTACTAATAAAGGGGCCTGGCTTTGATCTCCTGGAGGAAACAGGAGACCATACAAATAGTTTTGCACATCTATTCGAAATTTCAACTTATTTCTGGGCGTAAGTTGCTTGACATAGGGAAATAGGGAATTGAAAAACTGTATATCGTCATCATTAGGGTTCTGCGAGAGTTTATTTGTCCTTAAAGCTAGTTTTTCTTTTTTGGCGTCAACTAGCTGCTTCCCAATTTCTATTTCCGGTGTTATTCGACGTTTATAGCCCGTTCGAGAAATAGAAGTATTTATTGAAGCAGCGCGACCTGAAGTTGATGTAGACGGAATCACACCTTGTGACTCAGAATTAGGGCTTATCCCATTTGCTACTAACGTAGATCCTTCATCATCACTATCAGATTCTGATAGATTTGGTTCGTCCGAATGGCTGTACATAGAGTCCTGTGTTTCATCAATTAAATTCGTAGATAATTGACGAGGAGTAAACTGATCGCACAGAAAATTTAATTTGTCAAAATAGGGCCACTGGCTAACTAGTTCATCTTCTCCATATCCGAACCGATCCTGAAATTTCTTTTCTTGCTTTCCATACTCTTGCCTTAAATTTTTCCAGCATTTCCGTGCTTCTGTTTCTAAAACAAAAAATAAAAGATATGCCAACATTATGTTTTTAAGATATAATAACCTTTATTAAAATTTAAAAATAATTTCTTTAGTTACAGATATCTTGCGACAGGATGTAGCTTCAAACATTGAGATTTTCGTTTCACAGGAGCCTCGACAGTTACAAAAATTATTATCGAAATATGCGCAGCTCTATGGGATATGTTTCAGCCCCTTCAGATGAAACAACCCACAACGGCCGACTTTTTAAGGAAATATGAAGAATATAATAGACTTTGGGATTTTTCAAACTGCATTGGAGCATTGGATGGAAAGCATGTTCGAATAAAGTGTTCTTCTCACTCAGGTTCTATGTTTTTTAACTACAAACATTACTTCTCCATAGTTTTACAAGAGTTATTTGATGACCACTATAGATTTATTTCTATTGACGTCAGTGCATATCAAAAGCAGAGTGACGGTAGGAACATTCCAGGCTTCAAAACTTTCTAAATTGTTAGAAAATAATAAATTAGGAATCCCAAAAAAGAAAAAACTACTTGATTTTAATTACAAACTACCTTATGTTTTTCTTGCTGACGAAGCTTATTCCCTAAAAGAGAACTTATTGAAGCCCTATTCAGGAAAAACGTTAAATCCATCACAAAACAATTTTAATAAGCGAGGCAATCTGCAGTATATATATAGTAGACTCGCGATTATCCGAGTCCCGACTAACCGATCCTCTGGATTAATCGGCATAGTAATTGAAAAAAATAAATTAGCTTGGAGAGCGAGATTACGTGAAAGCGTGTGAGCTGGCAGTTGCTACGCTGAAGAGACGAATCACTAGAGTATTATTGTTCTACCCACTATGCTTCTACTGGCCGCCTCTTCACCCATTCCACCACATGCCAGTTTAAGTCATCACAACTAGCTGTTCGGTTCGTCCCACTGTAAGCTCTTACAATTTCATTAATGTCTTTGTGTAGTTTCTACGTAACATGAGGTACAATATGAGTTCAAAACTTAAACGAGTTGTGATTTCTTTAGAAACAAAATTAAATGCTATAAAACGCTTGGATAAGAGTGAGTCAGTAAAGAAGGTTGCTGCTGACCTAGGTGTTGGAAAAGTGACTGTGGGAGGTTGGAAACGTAAACGAAAAGATATTGAACAATGGGTTACTAAAAATGTGCGTGGTGGAAGTGATTTATTGCAGAAAACTATGATGAAAGGAGAATACGAACCTTCTGAAGCCTTATATTCATG